GAGATGGTATTACATTAGATGGTATAACATTAGATGGTATTACATTAGGATGGTATAACAGGAGATGGTATAACAGGAGATGGTATAACATTAGATGGTATAACAGGAGATGGTATAACAGGAGATGGTATAACAGGAGATGGTATAACATTAGATGGTATAACATTAGATGGTATAACAGGAGATGGTATAACAGGAGATGGTATAATATTAGATGGTATAACAGGAGATGGTATAACAGGAGATGGTATAACATTAGATGGTATAATATTAGATGGTATAATAGGAGATGGTATAACAGGAGATGGTATAAAAGGAGATGGTATAACATTAGATGGTATAACAGGAGATGGTATTACAGGAGATGGTATAACAGGAGATGGTATAACAGGAGATGGTATTACATTAGATGGTATAACAGGAGATGGTATTACAGGAGATGGTATAACATTAGATGGTATAACAGGAGATGGTATAACAGGAGATGGTATAACATTAGATGGTATAACAGGAGATGGTATAACAGGAGTGGTATAACAGGAGATGGTATACAGGAGATGGTATTACATTAGATGGTATAACAGGAGATGGTATAACAGGAGATGGTATAACATTAGATGGTATAACAGGAGATTGTATAACATTAGATGGTATAACATTAGATGGTATAACAGGAGATGGTATAACATTAGATGGTATAACAGGAGATGGTATAACAGGAGATGGTATAACAGGAGATGGTATAACAGGAGATGGTATAATATTAGATGGTATAACAGGAGATGGTATAACAGGAGATGGTATAACATTAGATGGTATAATATTAGATGGTATAACAGGAGATGGTATAACAGGAGATGGTATAATATTAGATGGTATAATATTAGATGGTATAACAGGAGATGGTATAACAGGAGATGGTATAACAGGAGATGGTATAATATTAGATGGTATAACGGAGATGGTTATAACAGGAGATTGTATAACATTAGATGGTATAACCAGGAGATGGTATAACAGGAGATGGTATAACAGGAGATGGTATAACATTAGATGGTATAACATTAGATGGTATAATATTAGATGGTTATAACATTAGATGGTATAACATTAGATGGTATAACAGGAGATGGTATAACAGGAGATGGTATAATATTAGATGGTATAACAGGAGATGGTATAACAGGAGATGGTATAACATTAGATGGTATAATATTAGATGGTATAACAGGAGATGGTATAACAGGAGATGGTATAAAAGGAGATGGTATAACATTAGATGGTATAACAGGAGATGGTATTACAGGAGATGGTATAACAGGAGATGGTATAAACAGGAGATGGTATAACAGGAGATGGTATAACATAGATGGTATAAACGAGATGGTATAAAAGGAGATGGTATTACATTAGATGGTATAACAGGAGATAGTATAACAGGAGATGGTATAACATTAGATGGTATACATTAGATGGTATAACATTAGATGGTATAACACATTAGATGGTATTACATTAGATGGTATAACAGGAGATGGTTATAACATTAGATGGATATAACATTAGATTGTATTACATTAGATGGTATAACATAGATGGTATAACAGGAGATGTATAACATTTAGATGGTATAACATGAGATGGTATAACATTAGATGGTATAACAGGAGATGGTATACAGGAATGGTATTACATTAGAATGGTATAACAGGAGGATGGTATAAACAGGAGATGGTATAACATTAGATGGTAAACAGGAGATGGTATAACATTAGATGGTATAATATTAGATGGTATAACAGGAGATGGTATAACAGGAGATGGTATAAAAGGAGATGGTATAACATTAGATGGTATAACAGGAGATGGTATTACAGGAGATGGTATAACAGGAGATGGTATAACAGGAGATGGTATAACAGGAGATGGTATAACATTAGATGGTATAACAGGAGATGGTATAAAAGGAGATGGTATAACAGGAGATGGTATTACATTAGATGGTATAACAGGAGATAGTATAACAGGAGATGGTATAACATTAGATGGTATAACATTAGATGGTATAACATTAGATGGTATAACATTAGATGGTATTACATTAGATGGTATAACAGGAGATGGTATAACATTAGATGGTATAACATTAGATGGTATTACATTAGATGGTATAACAGGAGATGGTATAACAGGAGATGGTATAACATTAGATGGTATAACAGGAGATGGTATAACATTAGATGGTATAACAGGAGATGGTATAACAGGAGATGGTATTACATTAGATGGTATAACAGGAGATGGTATAACAGGAGATGGTATAACATTAGATGGTATAACAGGAGATGGTATAACATTAGATGGTATAACAGGAGATGGTATAACAGGAGATGGTATAACAGGAGATGGTATAACAGGAGATGGTATAACATTAGATGGTATAACATTAGATGGTATAACAGGAGATGGTATTACAGGAGATGGTATAACAGGAGATGATATAACAGTAGATGGTATAACATTAGTTTTAATTATTGGAATACTGAATGTCACATGACCTCTTTCCTAGATGCTGATTGGTCAGATGCTGCAGGTGAACGCGGACACTCGTTATACCGCAGAGGAGGTCCTCTCACACCCCTGGGTTACGGTAGGCACACACAGACACACACACACACACACACACACACACACACACACACACACACACACACACACACACACACACACACACACACACACACACACACACCACACACACACACACACACACACACACACACACACACACACACCACACACACACACACACACACACACACCAACAACAGGTCACCTACACACACAACCACAACACACAACACACACAGGTCACCTACACCACACACACACACACCACACACCACAGGTCACCTACACACACACACACACACACACACACAGGTCACCTACACACACACACACACACACACACACAGGTCACCTACACACTGACCGACACAAACTCCACAATGTCCTCTTCCCTCATCTGAATAAACGTATGTGTGTGTGTGTGTGTGTGTGTGTGTGTGGTGTGTGTGTGTGTGTATGTGTGTGTGTGTGTGTGGTGTGTGTGTGTGTGTGTTTGTGTGTGTGTGTGTGTGTGTGTGTGTATGTATGTATGTGGTGTGTGTGTGTGTGTGTGTGTGGTGTGTGTGTGTTTGTGTGTGTGTGTGGTGTGTGTGTGTGTTTGTGTGTGTATGTGTGTGTGTGTGTGTGTGTGTGTGTGTGTGTGTGTGTGTGTGTTTGTGTGTGTGTTCTGCAGGACGAGGCAACCCTAGAGAGCAGAAACGTGAACACAGAGACATTATCTTCAGCAACGGTGACCCCTGACCTTCCAGTGACCCCTACAGCGACCTTTGACCCTATGACCCCAGCAGCACAGAGTAGCCCTGCCCACAACAACACTACTAATCCCAACACTAAATCTGTTACCTCTCCACTCTGCTGAGGACACATCCCCTTTCAGCCCCTAGGCAAGGGATGGGCAACTTTGAATGGGGTGGGGCCCACAAAAAATCTGAATTCATCACGAGGGGCCGCAGCGGCTCGTGGGTGAAGAGAAGTATTTTGCAATTTTATAACTAATTTCCTGCAATTCTACACATTTTGCCATAGGGTGGAGAGAAATGTTTGCAGTTTTTAATATGATATCTGAATGAGAGTGACTAACAAAATCAATGGGAGACCACCGGTCGGTCATTCGACCATGATTACTACAAATTTAGATAGCTGGCTAGACTAATTTACCAATCTAAAAACATTTAGCTGACATGGGCTAATTGAGTGACTGTCAGTGACTGACATACAAGGAAATAGGTAGCTTAGTGGTTAAGAGCGTTGTGCCAGTAACCGAAAGGTCACTGGTTCTAATCCCCGAGCCAACTAGGTGAAAAAATCTGTCGATGTGCCCTTGAGCAAGGCACTTAACCCTAATTGCTTCTGTAAGTCGCTCTGGATAAGAGCGTCTGCTAAATGACTAAAATGTAAATGTAAATGAAATACTGCAGATGCACGACCACATTCGTGTAATCTACTATTCTAACTCTCAACAGCAAATTGAGACCCCGACTGAGTTCCTAAAAAAAGATCTGCGAGCCTACAAAAGAGTTGCCCATCCCTGCCCTGGGCTCTTCTTTTATAAGTGAGGAGAAAACAGGGCTCCTAATGGAGCCCTAGACCCTAAACCCTACACCCTATGTATTTGTATGTGGAGATCTGAGAGGATTTGATTGGTCGAAGCAATATGGTGAAACTTCCACCTAGCCTATCAGAGGGCAAGGTGGAGCTATTACCATATTGCTTACACCTATCAAAATCCAGATCTCCACAAGTGCATAGGGCGTAGGGTCCATTTAGGATTGGGCCTTGAACTGTGGGCCACTTTCCATTTGGGATCCTAGCTGTGGAGAGGAGAGCTGATAGGACAGAAGTGTAGACAACAGTACTGTACTTTACCAACAACCTCAGATACTATACTGCCCAGTACCTCTCCACACATCTCTCTCTCTCTGTCTGTCTCTCTCTCTCTCTCTCTCTGTCTCTCTCTCTCTCTCTCTCTCTCTCTCTCTCTCTCTCTCTCCTCTCTCTGTCTCTCTCTCTCTCTCTCTCTTTCTCTCTCTCTCTCTCGCTCTCTCTGTCTGTCTCTCTCTCTGTCTGTCTCTCTCTCTCTCTAACTCACATGTAGCTCATCTCTCCCTCTCTCTCTTACAAGAATGGAGTATTCTATGGAGAATGGAGTATACTATGGAGAATGGCGTATACTATGGAGAATGGAGTATACTATGGAGAATGGAGTATTCTATGGAGAATGGAGTATTCTATGGAGAATGGAGTTTCTACAGTATATTGTGTATATATGGTGTATATATGTGTGTCTGTGTGAGTTGTGCTTTAGAGAATGTAGCAGTATGGGGGAGGGGCGGGGTTGGTTTGGTTTTGGGGGACGTGGTGGGGGTTGGTTAGGGGGAGTGGTGGGGTGATGGGGGAGGGGTGGGGTGGGTGGGGGTTAGTTTGGGGGAGGTGGTGGGGGTTGGTTTTCGGGGAGGGGAGGGGGTGCCATTTTGAAACTTGAAAAAAATATATGGCCTTTCTTTGGCTCCTTCCTTTGACATCCATTGACTAGAAAGGATTCCGTAAAGTCAACCATTAGACTTCGATAGACATCGCGTCATTGTATCTGTCCCATTATGGCATCTGTGAGAGCATGGGCAGCGTCATTGAGGACGTCTCCATTGGTCAATGTTCTTCTTCTACTACTTCTTATATGAGTTGGTAAACAAACTGAAACGGAGCACACTGCCCCCTAGAGTGTGTTATTGGAACAGGTATAAAGCCAAGGTTGGAGATGGTTCGCTCATGAGTATAATTCATTGGCTGATCCCTCCTGATGACCTGGATGGAATTATGTGATCCTTCCCTCTTAAACGTTTAATTAAAGATTCACCCATTTTGAATGTTATATTGTTTTTGTGCATCTCTGAGCGATGTTCTATCAATTCCCGGGGTCATTTAATGTTTTCATGTGTATCTGAGTTATTGGCGTTCAAGCAGACAGAAATTTGTCCGGTTTGACGTAGCACTGCGATAAAGCCGCTCTCAGACACTGGAAGTTAATAGGAATATGACTTTTAGATCGTGAAAATGTCTATCATACATGTCAGATTTAAATATTGGCCGATGTCATAACGCCGGAGGTTGTCTTCTCTCGAATGAGCCATTGATCATATTTTAGCAATATTCCTATCTCGAGAAATGTGTAATTTAACAGAGGGTCCAACACATTCCTCCTGTTTGTCTGCCTCTTCAGTCCAGGGTGCGTTGCATGGTGCCGATCTGCAGGTTGAACACGGTGAGATTGTAGACTCCTAAATTGATAGTGCAGTTTGTTTAGACGATTTTTCAGCTAACTAGCTAGCTATTTCACATGCTGATATTGACTTTGGTATTATTGGGTGTAGCTACGTTTGCTAGCCAGCCAGCCCATAGAGAGAGCATTGCATTGTGGGTTTTGTAGTCGACTTGAGCAGCAACAGATTTCTACAACGATTTTTCACGTTGCACCAACCTTACTTATAATGACAAAATGAAACATTTGTTCACAAAAAAAAAAAAATTGTTATCACATAGTGTTATTTAACACTGTGAATTATAGGAATGAGTGGTTTTGGTTGGGTTTTTATTTTAAGGGGACTTTAAGCGGTTCTGGACGGGTTCAACCAACATGTTTGTGTACCAGAGTTGAGTGGTCAGAAATCCTGGTCACCGCTGGCCACAGCGCTCCACCTCCTTTCCAACCCCTCCACTAAAAACCGCTCCTTGCACACAGGGAGAGAAAAAAAACTGCGCTCCAAATTCGCTCCCATTCATTAAAATCACAATTTAACCAACAACCATCTATTTTTGTGACCACCTGGATCTACCATTTGGTTTTGAAGTATTGAAACCAAACCATATGATTTGAATGAAAATTATTTGAATAAACATGAAAAGGTGACTGTAAGAAGCGCACATCATTTCAAATAGGCTACATGTCATATTAAAACAGCATATAAACACTCTAAAATGGGTCAGGAGACAGACAGGGAGCCTAAGAAGGAACGAAAATGAATAATTTAGGCGATATTATTTCAATTATTTCAAGGCTATAGACAACAAAGAAATACATTGTGAAGCATTTGCGAGTGCGACACACTAGGCTGGTCGGGACATAAAGGGCTCAGCATTTAAACACCATTTTGAAGTATTAAATCATTATAGTCTATAAATTGCGCATATAGGCTGTGACTTACTTAGAATGAAATACAAATTAAACGGGAAAAAAAAAAGCCTAATAAGGCTCAGTGCCTTTGAATTCATTTTTAGAAACACGAGTTTGGCCAGTCTGTGGCTTCAGTTGGCGCACAATTGGCCCAGCGTCGTCCAGGGTAGGGGAGGGAATGGCCGGCAGGGATGTAGCTCAGCATGGTGTTTGCAACGCCAGGGTTGTGGGTTCGATTCCCACGGGGGGCCAGTATGAAAAAAAAAAACTAAAAAAAAAAATGTATACACTCACTAACTGTAAGTCGCTCTGGATAAGAGCATCTGCTAAATGACGTAAATGTAAATGTAAGAGATCTGATTCTTAGTTATCTACCCCCCTCCTTCCTTTCTGTTAGCATGTGGTCGTAGTAAGTACACCGTCATAATAATAATATGCCATTTAGCAGACGCTTTTATCCAAAGCGACTTACAGTCATGTGCGCATACATTTTTTACGTATGGGTGGTCCCTGGGATCGAACCCACTACCCTGACGTTACAAGCGCCGTGCTCTACCAATTGAGCAACAGAGGACCACATGCTGTTGGGATACGTGTCTTTTCAGATTTCACAATGATTCTTTAGTTGTGGACACTACATCACCACACTCCCTCTCTTGGTCCTCATCTTTGTAAGTCACCTTGATTTAGCGCCTGTGTGTTTTATCAGTTTCTTGATGAAAATATTTAGCGAACTCCATGACAGTAGCTAAAGCAAGGGGCTATTAGCAGCACACAATTAGACTACTTGAAGGGAGCGCTACTGGAGCGAAATTGTAGAGGGCCAGAAGGCTTTATGCTCCGCTCAGCTGACATACTCTGTCGTGTACAGAGCGCTCTGTGAATGGAGCAACATCAATTGCTGCGCACTCTGGTTGTCCCGCTTCGCTTGCCGTTCTCCGCTCGCATGTTGAAACGCAGTATGTGAAATCTGACACCTCATTTGCATAGGGAGCGACGCGTCACATTTTCTGGCCAATCCAGACAAAGGATTCCCCTGGTTGTGACCTTTCCAGCTCTGCTTACATTACGGCAGATGAAACGCGACTAGCGATTACAGCAGACAGGCTCATCTCACTCAAATATTCTCATGCAGGATTTAGAGCTCTCAATATGAAACAATACTAAATCATTTCGTAGAATTGAAACAAGACCATTTTATCTTGGTCACAGAGGGGCGAAATCACCCCGTGCTTAAAGGCTGAAGTTGTAACGAGTCAGTAGACATTTGAATGGTGGCTCTGCGCCTCAAGACGACACTGGGCAGACAATTCTCTGTCATATCAGTTAAATGAAATGGGGGCCAATTATGTACTGTCACTAAGTATGATCATATTTGTTTTACAGTTATAAGAAAGGTGAAATATGATAGTAAGTCGTTCATAATTTGATTGTTACTATATTTAGAAAGCATCTTCATGATGAAGATATGTATTGTGTTTCTGGGAAGGGTGTATATGTTAGTTAAAACAAACTGGTTTGATGATGAAAATGTTATGTATTGTGTGTCTGGTGGGGGGGGGTATGGTTTGTATCTGCAACAATACATAAAACAGTGAGAATAAAGGTTGCAACGATGACATCTTGACTACTGGTCATTGATTGTTTACTTGTAGACTACTGGAATTCTCCTTCCTGCCTTTCGCCAACTGCCAGAAAATCTTACATAACATGAGTCATAGAACCACTAGTATTAAAACATTATCATTTTTATTTGGATTAAAAAGCCTGTATGGAATATCCAGTTATACTGTAAGTTGTAAGTAATATGACACAAAGCAGTTAAACACAGAAAGAAAATCCTAACCGATTTTCACTTAGTCATGCGTTGATAATTCATGACAGACTAAGTGGAAGTTAGGGTTAGCCCCATAGGAAACTGTTGAAGTGACCACTAGGTTACATGAAATACATGACCAGTTAGCACAGGTAGGTACCAGGTTAAAAACAAAGAAATATAAATCACTGGAATGGCCCTTCAGACAATGGCAATAGGACTGCATCCCCTTGGGTACACTCAAAATGGGCGCCGCACCACCCATTACAGACCCACAGACTTGAACGTGGATGACCATTCTAGTAATTATATTTCTATGGTTGAAAAGCAGTGTGCTGTAAGGCTGGCTTGCTGGTGATATTCTGATACTGGGATAGATTCAAAAGGATTCAGCAAACCATGTTTCCTATGTAGAATTACAACGGCTGCCATTTTGGCACCAATGTAAAGTTCTGAGATGTAAAATGGAGGATCGTTTAGTGTCAATATGGAGGGTAGTTTAGTGTCAATATGGAGGGTGGTTTAGTGTCAATATGGAGGGTAGTTTGGTGTCAATATGGAGGGTAGTTTAGTGTCAATATGGAGGGTAGTTTGGTGTCAATATGGAGGGTAGTTTAGTGTCAATATGGAGGGTAGTTTGGTGTCAATATGGAGGGTAGTTTAGTGTCAATATGGAGGGTAGTTTGGTGTCAATATGGAGGGTAGTTTAGTGTCAATATGGAGGGTAGTTTGGTGTCAATATGGAGGGTAGTTTAGTGTCAATATGGAGGGTAGTTTAGTGTCAATATGGAGGGTAGTTTAGTGTCAATATGGAGGGTAGTTTGGTGTCAATATGGAGGGTAGTTTGGTGTCAATATGGAGGGCAGTTTGGTGTCAATATGGAGGGTAGTTTGGTGTCAATATGGAGGGTAGTTTGGTGTCAATATGGAGGGTAGTTTGGTGTCAATATGGAGGGTAGTTTGGTGTCAATATGGAGGGTAGTTTGGTGTCAATATGGAGGATAGTTTGGTGTCAATATGGATGATAGTTTAGTGTCAATATGGAGGGTAGTTTGGTGTCAATATGGAGGGTAGTTTGGTGTCAATATGGAGGGTAGTTTGGTGTCAATATGGAGGGTAGTTTGGTGTCAATATGGAGGATAGTTTGGTGTCAATATGGATGATAGTTTAGTGTCAATATGGAGGGTAGTTTGGTGTCAATATGGAGGGTAGTTTAGTGTCAATATGGCCGGTAGTTTAGTGTCATTTGGGAGGGTAGTTTGGTGTCAATATGGAGGGTAGTTTAGTGTCAATATGGAGGGTAGTTTGGTGTCAATATGGAGGGTAGTTTGGTGTCAATATGGAGGGTAGTTTGGTGTCAATATGGAGGGTAGTTTGGTGTCAATATGGAGGGTAGTTTGGTGTCAATATGGAGGGTAGTTTGGTGTCAATATGGAGGATAGTTTGGTGTCAATATGGATGATAGTTTAGTGTCAATATGGAGGGTAGTTTGGTGTCAATATGGAGGGTAGTTTGGTGTCAATATGGAGGGTAGTTTGGTGTCAATATGGAGGGTAGTTTGGTGTCAATATGGAGGATAGTTTGGTGTCAATATGGATGATAGTTTAGTGTCAATATGGAGGGTAGTTTGGTGTCAATATGGAGGGTAGTTTAGTGTCAATATGGCCGGTAGTTTAGTGTCATTTGGGAGGGTAGTTTGGTGTCAATATGGAGGGTAGTTTAGTGTCAATATGGAGGGTAGTTTGGTGTCAATATGGAGGGTAGTTTAGTGTCAATATGGAGGGTAGTTTGGTGTCAATATGGAGGGTAGCTTAGTGTCAATATGGAGGGTAGTTTGGTGTCAATATGGAGGGTAGTTTAGTGTCAATATGGAGGGTAGTTTGGTGTCAATATGGAGGGTAGTTTAGTGTCAATATGGAGGGTAGTTTGGTGTCAATATGGAGGGTAGTTTAGTGTCAATATGGAGGGTAGTTTGGTGTCAATATGGAGGGTAGTTTAGTGTCAATATGGCAGGTAGTTTGGTGTCAATATGGCGGGTAGTTTAGTGTCAATATGGAGGGTAGTTTAGTGTCAATATGGAGGGTAGTTTGGTGTCAATATGGAGGGTAGTTTGGTGTCAATATGGAGGGTAGTTTGGTGTCAATATGGAGGATAGTTTGTCAAACTGTTTTGTATCTATCCCTTATCATACTGAGATGTAAACAGAATGCTTCGCTCATCAACCACATCAGTGCTACAACACATACTCATTCATTCTTCCGTTTAACAAACTCACACTTTCTCTCTGTCCCGTTACCTCTCACACCCACATCATACATATAGACCTGTTATATACACAGTGGACAAAACATTAGGAACACCTTCCTAATATTGAGTTGCACTCCCCTTTTGCCCTCAGAACAGCCTCAATTTGTTGGGGCATGGACTCTACAAGGTGTCGAAAAGCGTTCCACAGGGATGCTGGCCCATGTTGACTCCAATGCTTCCCACAGTTGTGTCAAGTTGGCTGGATGTCCTTTGGGTGGTGGACCTTTCTTAATACACACAGGAAACTGTTTGAGCGTGAAAAAACCCAGCAGCGTTGCAGTTCTTGACACAAACCGATGCGCCTGGCACCTTATACCACGCCCCATTCAAAGGCAATTAAATATTTTGTCTTGCCCAATCACCCTCTGAATGGCACACATACACAATCCATGTCTCAACTGTATCAAGGCTTAAAAATCCTTCTTTAACCCGTCTCCTCCCCTTCATCTACACTGATTGAAATGGATTTAACATCGATAAAGGATCGTAGCTTTCACCTGGATTCAGCTGGTCAGTCTGTCATGGAAAGAGGAATGCTTAGTATACTCAGTATATTTACACACTTGACTTGTTGTTGTTGTGTTACAGCCTTAATTTAAAATGGATTAAATTGAGATTTTTCACTGGTCTACACACAATACCCCATAATGTCAAAGTGGAATTATGTTTTTCAAATCTTTTTTTTTTTTTTTTTTATACAAATGAAAAACCCAAATGTCTTGAGTGAATAAGTATTCAACCCCTTTGTTATGGCAAGCCTAAATAAGTTCAGGGGTAAACATTTGCTTAACAAGTCAAATAGTAAGTTGCATGGACTCAGTCTGTATGCAATAATAGTGTTTAACATGATTTTTGAATGACTACCTCATCTCTGTACCCCACACATACAATTATCTGTAAGGTCCCTAAGTCGAGCAGTGAATTTCAAACACAGATTCAACCACAAAGACCAGGGAGGTTTTCCAATGCCTCGCAAAAGAAGGGCACCTATTGGTAGATGGGTAAAAAAAACAAAAAACAGACATTAAATATCCCTTTGAGCATGGTGAAGTGATTAATTACACTTTGGATGGTGTATCAATACACCCAGTCACTACAAAAGATACAGGCGTCCTTCCTAACTCAGTTGCCGGAGAGGAAGGAAACCACTCAGGGATTTCACCATGAGGCCAATGGTGACTTTAAAACAGTTAAAGTTGAATGGCCGAGTTGAATGGCCGTGATAGGAGAAAACTGAGGATGGATCAACAACATTGTAGTTACTCCACAATACTAACCTAAATGACAGAGTGAAAAGAAGGAAGCCTGTACAGAATACAAATATTTCAAAACATGCATCCTGTTTGCAACAAGGCACTAAAGTAATACTGCAAAAAATTTGGCAAAGCAATTAAACTTTCTGTCCTGTATACAAAGTGTTATGTTTGGGGCAAATCCAATACAACACATTACTGAGTACCACTCTTCATATTTTCAAGTATAGTGGTGGCTGCATCATGTTATGGGTATGTTTGTAATCATTAAGGACTAGGGAGTTTTTCAGGATAAAAAATAAACGGAATGGAGCTAAGCACAGGCAAAATCCTAGAGGAAAACCTGGTTCAGTCTGCTTTCCACCAGACACTGGGAGATGAATTCACCTTTCAGCAGGACAATAACCTAAAACACAAGGCCAAATCTACACTGGAGTTGCTTACCAAGAAGACAGTGAATGTTCCTGAGTGGCCTAGTTACAGTTTTGACTTAAATCTGCTTGAAAATCTATGGCAAGACTTGAAAATGGCTGTCTAGCAATGATCAACAACCAACTTGACAGAGCTTGAAGAATGTTTTAAAGAATAATGGGCAAATATTGTACAATCCAGGTGCGGAAAGCTCTTAGAGACTTACCCAGAAAGACTCACAGCTGTAATCGCTGCCAAAGGTGATTCTAACATGTATTGACTCAGGGGTGTGAATACTTATGTAAGTTAGACATTTATGTATTTAATTTTCACTAAATTTGCAAACATTTCAAAAGACATGTTTGACTTTGTCATTATGGGGTATTGTGATCCAGGTGTGGAAAGCTCTTAGAGACTCAGAAAGACTTACAATGTAATCCATTTTGAATTCAGGCTGTAACACGACAAAATGTGGAATAAGTCAAGGGGTATGAATACTTTCTGAAGGCACATATTTATATACACACTACATTACGAAAAGTATGCGGACACCTGCTCATCGAACATCTCATCAAAAATCATTGGCATGAACATGGAGTTGGTTCCCTCCTTTGCTGCTATAACAGCCTCCACTCTTCTGGGAAGGCTTTCCACTAGATGTTGGAACATTGCTGCGGGGACTTGCTTCCATTCAGCCACAAGAGCATTAGTGAGGTCGGGCACTGATGTTGGGCGATTAGGCCTGGCTCGCAGTCGGTGTTCCAATTCATCCCAAAGGTGTTCGATGGGGTTGAGGTCAGGGCTCTGTGCAGGCCAGTCAAGTTCTTCCACACCAATCTCGACAAACAATTTCTGGGGCATTGTCATGCTGAAACAGGAAAGGGCCTTCCCCAAACTGTTGCCACAAAGTTGGAAGCACAGAATTATCTAGAATGTCATTGTATGCTGTAGCGTTAAGATTTCCCTTCACTGGAACTAAGGGGCCTAGCCCGAACCATGAAAAACAGCCCCAGACCATTATTCCTCTTCCGCCAAACCCAGATTCGTCCGTCGGACTGCCCGATGGTGAAGAGCGATTCATCACTCCAGAGAACGCGTTTCCACTGCTCCAGAGTCCAATGGCAGCGAGCTTTACACCACTTCATAATAACAGCCCTTACAGTTGACCGGGGCAGCTCTAGCAGGGCAGAAATTTGACGAACTTACTTGTTGGAAAGGTGGCATCCTGTGACGGTGCCACGTTGAAAGTCACTGAGCTCTTCAGTACGGGCCATTCTACTGCCAATGTTTGTCTATGGAGATTGCATGGCTGTGTGCTCGATTTTATACACCTGTCAGCAACGGGTGTGGCTGAAATAGCTGAATCCACTAATTTGAAGGGGTGTCCACATACTTTTGGCCATGTCATGTATATATCAATCACATAGTGTACATAGTCCTATTTGTAGCTGTCAGGAAGCAGTGTCAGGTAGTTTTTGGGGACCAGGCCTCGTCTCCCTCCTGCATCCCCCAGATACCACTCATCATCTACTGTCACCACCCCTGTCACTACCTCCCCCGCCTGGGAGAGAGAGAGAGAGAGAGAGAGAGAGCGGAAAAGACAGGGAGAGGGGGAAGAACAGGGGGAGAGAGAGAGAGAGAGAGAGTGAGGAGAGGGGGGGAAGAGAGAGGGGAGGGAAAGAGAGAGAGCGAGAGGAGAGAGCGGAAAAGACAGGGAGAGGGGGAAGAACAGGGGGGAGAGAGAGGGGGAAAAAAACAGGGGGAGAGAGGGGGAAAAAAACAGGGGGAGAGAGGGGGGGGGGAAGAGAGAGGGGAGGGAAAGAGAGACGAGAGAGAGAGAGAAAGTACACAAATCATTAGACTTTGCTACTTAATTGGTAACAAAATATGAACACACAGAGCTGAGCAGGCCCACCTTCAGTGAGAGTTCATCTTCACTCTCTGCACTGAAATCAAACAGGACCTTGGCCACGCCCCTGGCCACAGGCTGGCCCGTCATTGGCTGAGCTGCAGAGAGGAGCAGAAAGTATGGTTAAACTCTGTCCATGTTGTGTGAAACTTCCCCCTAGGCATAGATCCAGGATCAGATTCCCCTCCCCCCAATCTAAACCTTAACCATTAGTGAGGGGGGAAAGCAGCTTCCCCCCCCCAATCTAAACCTTAACCATTAGTGAGGGGGGAAAGCAAAAACTGAACCAGGATCAGTGTAACATCACCCTACTCTGTGTGTCACCTGTGTTACAGGTGTGTGTGAAGGTAGTGGGGAACAGTCCCTCCCGTCCGTCCAGTGTTCCTCTGGTCCAGTCGGCGTCAACGCGCCGTGTTACTCTGATCAGCGCCCCCTGCTGGAACCACAGGTCCTCTGCAGTCTGACCTGGGAAATCATGCAGAGCCACAACCCACTGTTCTGCACCTTCTGATACACAAACACAGAGAGCGCATACACACACATATACACATTTAGAAATATTAACACACACACACATATACACATTTAGAAATATTAACACACACACACACACAAATCTTAATGTACAGAAAGACAAGGCTATAGGATCAACAGCCTCACTGTAGAGAAAGACAAGGCTATAGGATCACCACATACAGCTCACCACTAGAATCCAGTTGGCCAAATCTAAGTAGGTCTATATGTTTGGCTTCGTAACTGAAGGACCTTGGGTCTAATCACCTGAGGATTCAGCGTCTTCGTGGTCGTCTCGACAAGGTCCTGTAACCCTGCCGACGGGGGTGGTTCCTCCAGGATCTCGGTGAAGGCCAGGGGGAAGATTCCTATTCGCCCGTGGATCTGACCCCGCCCCCACTCCTGATCAATCACATCCGTCAGAGCGATGACATCACCCTCGGAGAAGGTCAGCTCGTCTTCCTCCTCCCCCTCGTAGTCGAACCGCGCCACACACCTGGGACCAAAAACACACGGAGGGCGGGAAAAAATACATTTCACCTCACCACTACAAACACACAGAGACAGGGGACAAAAAAAATTAACCCCCACCACTACACACACACGGGAAGGGGGGCAACAATCATTCCCCCCACCAAAAAACCCCAAAACGGGAAGGGGAAAACAATACATTAAAACTACCCACTACACACCAAAAGAGAAGGGGACAAATCTTACACCTCCCCCTAACCACACGAGACAGGGGACAACATACATTTCCTCACACTACCCAACAGAGAAGGGGGGCAACAATTTTCTTACAAAAAACCACTACCCCACACACGAGAAGGGGACAACAAACATACCCTACCATCACACACAAGAGACAGGGGAAACAATACATTACACCCCACCACTACACACACACAGGGGACAGGGGACAACAATACATACACCTCACCACTACACACACACGGAGACAGGGGAAAAACAAACATTACACCTCACCACTACACACACACGGAGACAGGGGACAACAATACATTACACCTCACCACTACACACACACACAGAGCAGGGGACAACAATACATTACACCTCACCACTACACACACACGGAGACAGGGACAACAATACATTACACCTCACCACACACCCACACGGAGACAGGGGACAACAATACATTACACCCCACCATAAAACCACACAGAGACAGGGGAAAAACAATCATTACACCTCACCACTACAGACAACAGAGACAGGGGACAACAATACATTACACCTCACCACTACACACACACAGAGACAGGGGACAACAATACATTACACCTCGGACCACTACACACACACAGAGACAGGGGACAACAATACATTACACCTCGGACCACTACACACACACAGAGACAGGGGACAACAAACATTACACCTGGGACCACTACACACACACAGAGACAGGGCCCAAATACATTACACCGGACCACTACACACACACAGAGACAGGGGACAAACAATACATTACACCTCACCACCTACACCCACACACAGAGACAGGGGACAACAATACATTACACCTCACCACTACACACACACGGAGACAGGGGACAACAATACATTACACCTCGGACCACTACACACACACGGAGACAGGGGACAACAATACATTACACCTCACCACTACACACACACAGAGACAGGGGACAACAATACATTACACCTCACCACTACCACACACACGGAGACAGGGGACAACAATACATTACACCTCACCACTACACACCACACGGAGACAGGGGACAACAATACATTACACCTCACCACTACACACACACAGAGACAGGGGACAACAATACATTACACCTCACCACTACACACACACGGAGACAGGGGACAACAATACATTACACCTCGACCCACTACACACACACGGAGACAGGGGACAACAATACATTACACCTCACCACTACACACACACGGAGACAGGGGACAACAATACATTACACCTCGGACCATTACACACACACAAGAGACAGGGGCCCAAAAATTTACTTTACACTCGGACCACTAAAACACCACACAGAGACAGGGGAAAAACATACATTACACCTCGGACCAACCACACACACACAGAGACAGGGGACAACAAAAACTTACACCTAAACCACTACACACACACAGGACAGGGAAACAATAAAATTACACCTCGGACCACTACACACCCCACAGAGACAGGGGACAAACAATACATTACACCTCGGACCACTACACACACACAGAGACAGGGGACAACAATACATCATTGTGTGTCTGTGTGTGTCTCACCTGACAGGTGCTGTGACCGGTGGGGCCTTCTCTACACGGGGCTGAGATGGGAGGATGGACTGAAGGAGGAAACGGAGAGATAAACTAAATAGAAAGATTAATTAAGAAAAATAAAACTCATATTTTTTAAAAGGATATATGTGATGCATTTACCGGAGGTTCTGATTGGCTCTTGTATTCAGAGGGAGGCTTCAATTGGCTGTTGTCGTCCGAGGCGGGATCGAATTGGTTGTGTTGGTCACTGGGAGGCTGTGATTGGTCAGACAGAGGGGTGATTACAGTCCATGTGTGGACTCCTTGTAACCCGACCTGACTCCTCCCCCAGGAGACAATCTTTGTGGGCGGAGTCTGTCTTCTCCAACAGAACCAGGACGTCCTGTTTCTGAGACACACCCATATAAGGAGTTCATTAAATGGAATAAAGGGAAATGAGCCAGTCCCCTGGAAAAAGTATGGTGGGAAGCTTTAAACCGCTACACAACTCTGCTTATAACCTACCCGACCACTCAGACATCTACATGCTAACACTGCGTATACCTACCAGACCTGTGGCCAGACGCATGCTAACATGCTAACCGGCTTCTACCTACCCGACCCTTCAGACATGCTACATGCAACCTGCTCATACCTACCCAGACCCTCGACATGGCTCACATGCTAACCTGCTTATACCTACCCAGCCCCTTCAGACATGCTAAACAGCTCACACTCGCTTATACCTTACCAATCCTTCATACATGCTAACAGGCTCCCCTGCGTAATACCTACCCAGACCCTTCAGACACTGCTAAACTGATATACCTACCCAGACCTTCAGACATGCTAACTGCCTACACTGCTTATACCTACCCAGATCCTTCAGACAGTCTAACACTGATTATACCTACCCCGCACCCTTCAACATGCTCACATGCTAACCCAGCTTAGGACCAAGGGGGAGTGAAAGGGGTATTGGAACTAGCTGCTCTATTCTGTTCTGAATACATACGCAAAACAACCCATACATCACATTCTCTATAGGGTGAAAGTCATAATAGTTCCCTTGCACGCCATCCTCCCTCCTCTCAACACTATGTTAAATCCCCATTACGCTACCATCTCTCAACACTAATGTGAAAGCCCCATTCCTACCATCCTCTCTCTCTCCCTCTCACACTAATTGTTTAAAGCCCATTACCTACATCCTCTCAACAACACTAATGTTAAAAGAAAGCCCCTCATTACCTACCATCCGCCCTCCTCGCAACACTAATGTTAAGCCCCATTACCTACCATCCTCTCAACACTACTGTTAAAGCCCCATTACCCTACCATCGTCTCACACTAATGTTAAAGCCCCATTCCTACCATCCTCTTCCTCTCGAACACTACTGTTAAAGAGCCCATTAACCTACTCATCCTCTCTCCTCTCACACTATGTTAAAAAAAGCCCCATTACCTACACATACTCTCTCCTCTCAACACTAATTTACAGCCCCATTACCTACTACCATCCGTCTCTCCTCTCAACACTATGTTAAAGCCCCATTACCTAGCCAAATCCGCTCAACACTAATTTTAAAAGCCCCCATTACCTACCATCCTCTCTCCTTCTCACACTAAATGTTAAACCCATTACCTACCATCTCTCTCCTCTCAACCTAATGTTTAAAAACCCCATTACCTACCATCCTCTCTCCTCTCAACACGAATGTTAAAGCCCCATTACCATTTACCTACCATCCTCTCACACTAATGTTAAAGCCCCATTAACTACATCCTCCCCTCCTCTCAACACAATGTTAAAGCCCCATTACCTACCAATCCTCTCTCCTCTCAACGCCTAATTTTAAAGCCCATTACCTACTCATCCTCTCTCCTCTCTCCTCTCAACACTAATGTTAAAGCCCCATTACCTACCATCCTCTCAACCTATGTTAAAGCCCTTACCCCTGACCATCCTCTCAACACTAATGTTAAAGCCCCTATACCTATCCATCCTCGTCACACAAGGTTAAAGCCCCATTACCTACCATCCTCGCACCCTAATGGAGTCCCATTACCACCATCCTCTCAACACTAATGTTCAAGCCCCATTACCTACATCCTCTCAACACTAATGTTAAAGCCCCATTACTACCATCCCCCTTCTCAACACTAATGTTAAAGCCATTACCTACAATCCTCCCTTCGCTCACCACTAATGTTAAAGCCCCATTACCTACCATCCTCCTCTCCTCTCACACTAATGTTAAAGTCCCCATTACCTACCATCCTCTCTCTCTCAACACTAATGTTAAGCCCCATTACCTACCATCCTCTCTCCTCTCAACACTTAATGTAAAAGCCCCATTACCTAACATCCTCATCTCTCTCAACACTAATTTTAAGGCCCCATTACCCTACCATCCTCCCTCCTCTCACCCTCGTTAAAGCCAGCCCCATTACCTACCTCCTCTCTTCCCTCCTCTCAACCCCTAATGTTAAAGCCATTAACCTACCATCCTCGTCTCCTCTCAACCCTAATGTTACAGCCCATTACCTACCATCCTCTCAAGACACCTAATGTTAAGCCCCATTACGCTCCATCCTCTCAACCTCTGTTAAAAGCCCCATTACCTACCAGCCTCTCAACACTAATGTTAAAGCCCCATTACCTACACATCCGCTCTCCTCTCAACACTAATGTTAAAGCCCCATGACCTACCTCCTCCCTCCTCTCAAACACTAATGTAAGCCCCTTACCTACCATCCTCTCAACACTAAGGTTACAGCCCCATTCCCTACCATCCTCCCTCCTCTCAACACTATGTTAAAGCCCGATTAACTAACATCCTCTCAACAACTAATGTTAAAGCCCCATTACCTACCATTCCTCCCTCCTCTCAACCTATGTAAAGCCCCATTACCACTACATCCTCTCACACTAATGTTCCAGCCCCATTACCTACCATTCCTCTGTCCTCTCAACACTAATGTTAAAGCCCCTTTACCTACCATCCTCGTCACACTAATGTAAAGCCCCATTACCTTCCATCCTCTCAACACTAATGTTAAAGCCCTTACCTAACCATCTCTCAACACTAATGTTAACGCCCATTACCTCCATCCTCGCAACACTATGTTAAAGCCCCTTACCTACCTCCTCTCAACCACTAATGTAAAGCCCCATTACCTACCATCCTCTCAACCACTCGTTAAGCCCCCGTACCTACCATCCTCTCAACACTAATGTTTAAAGCCCCCATTACCTACCATCCTCTCACACACTAATGTTAAAAGCCCCATTACCTACCATCCTCCGCACACTAATGTTAAACCCCATTACTACCATCCTCCAACACTAATGTAAAGCCCCATACCTACCATTCCCTCAACACAATGTTAAGCCCCATTACCTACCATCCTCTCCACACTAATGTTAACGCCCATTACCTACATCCTCTTCTCTACTAAACACTAATGTTAAGCCCCATTACCTACCATCCTCTCAACACTACACTAAGGTTTAACGCCCCATTACCTACCATCCGCTCTCCTCTCACACTAATGTTAAAAAAGCCCATTACCTACCATCTCCCTCCTCTCAACACAATTTAAAGCCCCATTACCCCTACCATCCTCTCAACACTAATTTAAAGCCCCATTACCTACCATCCTCCCTCCTCTCAACACTAAGTAAAGCCCATTACTACCATCCTCTCAAACACTAATGTTTTAAAGCCCATTACCTACCATCCTCCCGCCCTCAACACTAATGTTTAAAGCCCCATTACCTCCCATCCTCTCACACTAATGTTAAAGCCCATTACCTACCATCCTCTCAACACAATGTTAACGCCCCATTACCTACCTATACCATCCGCTCAACACATGTTAAAGCCCATTACCAAAAAATACCATCCTCTCAACACTAATGTTTAAAGCCCCATTACCTACCTCCCTCACCACATGTTAAAGCCCCATTACCTACCATCCTCTCAACACTAATGTTTAAAGCCCCATTACCTACCTCCTCTCAACCTAATGTAAAGGCCCCATTCCCTACCATCTCTCCTCCTCTCACACGAATGTTAAAGAGCCCCATTACCTACCATCTTCCGCAACACTAATGTAAAGCCCCTTACCTACCATTTTTTTCCTCGTTCTCCCTCTCCTCTCAACACTACTGTTAAGCCCCATTTACCTACCAATCCGCCCTCCTCTCAACACTAATTTTAAGCCCCATTTACCTACCATCCTCCCCTCCTCTCAAACACGAATGTTAAAGCCCATTACCTACCATCCTCTCTCCTCTCAACACTAATGTTAAAGCCCAGTACCTACCATCCTCCTCAACACTAATGTTAAAGCCCCATTACCTACCATCCTCTCAACACTATGTAAAGCCCCATACCTACCATCCTCTCTCCTCTCAACACTAATGTTAACAGCCCCATTACCTACCTCCTCCTCACACTAATGTTAAGCCCCATACCTACTATCCTCTCAACACTAATGTAAAGCCCCATTACTACCATCCTCTCAACACTAATGTTAAAGCCCCATTACCTACCATCCCTCTCAACACTATGTTAAAGCCCCATTACCTACCATCCTCTCTCCTCTCACAACCTACTGTTAAAGCCTCATTACCTACCATCCCTCTCCTCTCAACACTAATGTTTAAAGCCCATTACCTACCATCCTCTCACACTATTGGGGGTTTTCTTTTACAGCCCCCCTTACCTACCATCCTCCCTCTCAACCTAATGTTAAAGCCCCATTACCTACCATCCTCTCTCCTCTCAACACTAATGTTAAATCCCCATTCTACCATGCCTCTCTCCTCTCAACACTACTATTAAATCCCCATTACATACCATCCTCTCAACACTAATGTTAAGCCCATTACCTACCATCCTCTCAACACTAATGTTAACGCCCCATTCCCTACCATCCTCTCACACTAATTTAAAGCCCTCATTACGTACCACCTTCACACTATGTTAAAGCCCCCCATTCCCTACCATCCTCTCAACCTATATTTAAAGCCCCTTACCTACCATCCCTCACAACTAATGTTAAATGCCCCATTACCCTACCATCCTCTCAACACTACAATTTAAAGAGCCCCCTTACCTACCATCCCTCAAACCTAAGGTAAGCCCCATTACCTACCATCCTCTCTCCTCTCACCCTAATGTTTAACGCCCCATTAACCTCCATCCTCTCAACACCTATTAAGCCCCATTACCTACATCCTCTCTTCCTCTCACACACGAATGTTCAAGCCGCCATTACCTTACCTACCATCCTCTCTCCTCTACACTATGTTGAAGCCCCATTACCTCCATCCTCTATCAACACTAATGTTATAGCCCCATTACCCTACCATCCCCCCTCCCTCCTCTCACACTATGTTACAGCACCCATTACCTACCATCCTCTCAACACTAATTTAAAGCCCCATTACCTACTCCTCTCAACACTAATTTAAAGCCCCATTACCTACCATCCTCTCAACCCTAATGTTAATCCCCCTTTACCTACCATCTCCTCTCTCCCTCAACACTAATGTTAAAGCCCATTACCCTACCATCCGCTCAAACACTATGTTAAAGCCCCATTACTACCATCCTCTCAACCCTAATGTTAAAGAAAGCCCCATTACCTACCATCATCTCTTCCTCTCAACCCTAAACATTTAAAGTCCCATACCTACCATCCCTCATCAACACTAATGGTTAAGCCAGCCCCATACCTACCATCCTCTCTCCTCTCAACCCTAATGTTAAAGCCCCCATGAACCTACCATCCTCCTCACACTAAGTTAAAGCCCCTACCTACGCAGCCTCTCAACACGAATGTTAAAGCCCCATTAACCTACCATCCTCCTCAACCCTAAGGTTAAGCCCCTTAACTACCCATCCGCTCACCTCTCAACACACTAGGTTAAGCCCCATTACCTCCCATCCTCTCAAACACTATTTAAACCCATTACCTACCATCCTCTCTCCTCTCACCCTCATGTTTAAGCACCATTACCGACCATCGCTCTCAACACTAATGTTAAAGCCCATTAAACCTCCATCCTCTCCCTCCACACTAATGTTAAAGCCCCATTACCTCCCTCCTCTCAACACTAATGTTAAAGCCCCCCATTTTAACAAAAACCCCCCCCTACCATCCTCATCTCCTACTCACCCTAATGTAAGCCCCATTACCGACCATCCCTCTCTCCCTCTCAACCCATGTTAAGCCCCATTACCTACCATCTCTCAACACTAATGTTTAAAGCCCCATTACCTACCATCCCTCTCAACACTAATGTTAAACCCCTTACCACCTACCATCCTCATCTCCTCTCGCACTAATGTTAAAGCCCTGACCTGGAAAGAGACTTCTCTAAATTCCCTGCCATTGCAGTCCTGCTCTGGTCTATTTCCAGTGGTATTCCATATGGGTATTAGAAGGACACACATGGATTATCACTAGTCACAGGAAAGGACATATGGAATATAGCTCTTCCTTACCAAAAATACAATTCAACCTACTAACAACCAACCTTACCTTGACCTTAACAAGAGATTCTCTGGTACTTAAAAAAAAAAAAACTTTTTACCCTGTAGTTCGAAAGTAGAGCTAAATGACGAAAGTGTCACATAATTACTGCACTAACATCACAGATGGTCTCTCTCTGCCTTTCTCACTCTCTCTCTTCTCCTCTCATCTCTCTCTCTCCTCTCCGTCTGCTCTCTCTCTCCTCTTCTCTCCTCATCTCTCTCTCTTGCTCTCTCTTCTCATCCTTCTCTAGCGTCTCTCTCTCTCTTCTCTCCTCTCCTCTCTCCTCCTCTCTCTCCGTCGTCTCTCTCTCTGCTCTCTCTCTCTCTCTCTCTCTTCATCTCAGTCTCTCTCTCTCTCTACACCTCTCCGGCCTCTTCTCAGTGCTCCTGTCGTCTCTCTCTCTTCTCGTCCTCGGTCCGTCTCTCTCTCTCTCACTTCTCACGATCTGAGGGTTCTCTCTCTCAGAATCGACTTTACGTCATCTCGATCTTCTCTCCCCACGTTCGACAATCTCTCCTCTCTCATATCCTCCTCTCTCAGTCTCGTCTCTCCTCTCTCGCGCTCTCGTCTGCATCTCTCTCTCCGCAGTCCTCTCTCGTCTCTCATCTCCTCTCTCTCTTCTCTCTCGCGCGCGCTCACGTCGTCCTCGCGTCCCTCGTCCTAGCGCATGCACGTGCTCTCTCTCTCGAGTCAGTCCGTTCTGCACGTCTCTCGTCTCTCTCTCTCTCGTTTGGTGCATATGGCTAGCTGTCACTCAAATGGGGAGGGGCTGAAGCTCACTGGCTAGAACTCAAATCGCTAGGGGGCTGGCCCCAGGTGTGGGAACATGGCGCAGCACAGCTTCCAGAAAAACAGTCGCTTTCAAACTAGGGATTTGGTGGCTAATTGAGGTAAGACAGTAATTCAGCTCATATAATGAACAAAAATATAAAACGCAACATGCAACAATTTCAAAGATTTTACTGAGTTACAGTTCATATAAGGAAAATCAGTCAATTGAAATAAATAAATTAGGCCCTAATCTATGGGTTTCACATGACTTGGTCACAGACACCTTAAAAAAAAAGGTAGGAGCGTGGACCAGAAAACCAGTCAGTATCTGGTGTGACCACCATTTGCCTCATGCAGCACGACACATCTCCTTCACATAGAGTTGATCAGGCTGTTAATTGTGGCCTGTGGAATGTTGTCCCACTCCTCTTCAATGGCTGTGCAAAGTTGCTGGATATGCTGTCATACACGTCGATCCAGAGCATCCCAAACATGCTCAATGGGTGACATGTCTGGTAAGTATGCAGGCCATGGAAGAACTGGGACATTTTCAGCTTCCAGGAATTGTGTACAGATCCTTGCGACATGGGGCCGTGCATTATCATGCTGAAACGTGAGGTGATGGCAGCAGATGAATGGCACGACAATGGGCCTCAGGATCTTATCACGGTATCTCTGTGCATTCAAATGGCCATCGATAAAATTGAATTGTGTTGGTCGTCTGTAGCGTATGCCTGTCCATACCATAACCCCACCGCCACCATGGGGCACTCTGTTCACAACGTTGACATCAACAAACCACTCGCCCACACATGTGAGGCCGGTTGGACGTACTGCCAAATTCTCTAAAACGACGTTCGAGGCGGCGTATGGTAGAGAAATGAACATAAAATTATCTGGCAACAGCTCTGGTGGACATTCCTGCAGTCAGCATGCCAATTACACGCTCCCTCAAAACTTGAGACATCTGTGGCATTTTATTGTGTGACAAAACTGCACATTTTAGAGTGGCCTTTTATTGTCCCCAGCACAAGGTGCACCTGTGTAATGATCATGCTGTTTAACTCAGCTTCTTGATATGCCACACCTGTCAGGTGGATGGATTTCCCACTAACAGGGGCAGCCCCAGCAGGGCAGAAATCTGACGAACTGATTTGGAAAGGTGGCATCCTGTGACGGTGCCACGTTGAAAGTCGCTGAGCTCTTCAGTATGGGCCATTCTACTGCCAATGTTTGTCTATGGAGATTGCATGGCTGCGTGCTCGATTTTATACACCTGTCAGCAACGGGCGTGGCTGAAATAGCCGAATACACTAATTTTAAGGGGTGTCCACATACTTTTGTATATACAGTATAGCGTGGGTACGGCCAGTGTATGGCCTAAGTAGATGTTTGTATTTACCATGTAGCTCGTGTACAGGGGATGTCCAGGCTTGGGTCGGGGGGGTAGAGGGGGGCCTCTCTTTGGTGCCCTCTGATCCTGCGGCTGATTGGAGGGGGCGGGGACATCCTGGGGAGGGGATGGCTGATTGGATGATATAGTAGAGGGGGCGGAGACAGCCCGGGCAGGGGGCTGATTGGCTAATGTGATAGACGAGGCAGAGACAGCCTGGGGAGGTGGGGGTCGACCAGGAACAGTCTTTATGGGAGGGGGGCGGAGGGGGAGCATCTTAACCCCTCCCTGGGGTCTGAGACACAAAAAAAAGAGAGAGGAGAGAGAGAGAGACGGGAGAGAGAAGAAGACAGGACTGAGAGAGACAGAGACAGAGACAGAGAGAGGAGAGAGAGAAGAGAGAGATCAGAGAGAGAGAGGGGGATGAGGAGAGAGAGAGGGAGAGGAGGGAGAGAGGGGAGAGGGCGGGAGGGAGGAGGAGAGAGAGGGGGAGAGGGAGGGAGGGGAGAGAGAGAGAGAGAGAGAGAGAGAGAGAGAGAGAGAGGTTAAGAGTGTGTGTGGTCTGGAATATATAAAGAGAGATGTTCATGACTATTATACTATTTTATATTTTATTAGTATTGTATATTTCTACTACTTTGAGAGCAGCTACATGATACCCAGGAGGACTATACATATATATACACTGCTCAAAAAAATAAAGGGAACACTTAAACAACACAATGTAACTCCAAGTCAATCACACTTCTGTGAAATCAAACTGTCCACATTTCACATGCTGTTGTGCAAATGGAATAGACAACAGGTGGAAATTATAGGCAATTAGCAAGACACCCCCAATAAAGGACTGGTTCTGCAGGTGGTGACCACAGACCACTTCTCAGTTCCTATGCTTCCTGGCTGATGTTTTGGTCACTTTTGAATGCTGGCGGTGCTTTCACTCTAGTGGTAGCATGAGACGGAGTCTACAACCCACACAAGTGGCTCAGGTAGTGCAGCTCATCCAGGATGGCACATCAATGCGAGCTGTGGCAAGAAGGTTTGCTGTGTCTGTCAGCGTAGTGTCCAGAGCATGGAGGCGCTACCAGGAGACAGGCCAGTACATCAGGAGACGTGGAGGAGGCCGTAGGAGGGCAACAACCCAGCAGCAGGACTGCTACCTCCGCCTTTGTGCAAGGAGGAGCAGGAGGAGCACTGCCAGAGCCCTGCAAAATGACCTCCAGCAGGCCACAAATGTGCATGTGTCTGCTCAAACGGTCAGAAACAGACTCCATGAGGGTGGTATGAGGGCCCGACGTCCACAGGTGGGGGTTGTGCTTACAGCCCAACACCGTGCAGGACGTTTGGCATTTGCCAGAGAACACCAAGATTGGCAAATTCGCCACTGGCGCCCTGTGCTCTTCACAGATGAAAGCAGGTTCACACTGAGCACGTGACAGACGTGACAGAGTCTGGAGACGCCGTGGAGAACGTTCTGCTGCCTACAACATCCTCCAGCATGACCGGTTTGGCGGTGGGTCAGTCATGGTGTGGGATGGCATTTCTTTGGGGGGCCGCACAGCCCTCCATGTGCTCGCCAGAGGTAGCCTGACTACCATTAGGTACCGAGATGAGATCCTCAGACCTCTTGTGAGACCATATGCTGGTGCGGTTGGCCCTGGGTTCCTCCTAATGCAAGACAATGCTAGACCTCATGTGGCTGGAGTGTGTCAGCAGTTCCTGCAAGAGGAAGGCATTGATGCTATGGACTGGCCCGCCCGTTCCCCAGACCTGAATCCAATTGAGCACTTCTGGGACATCATGTCTCGCTCCATCCACCAACGCCACGTTGCACCACAGACTGTCCAGGAGTTGGCGGATGCTTTAGTCCAGGTCTGGGAGGAGATCCCTCAGGAGACCATCCGCCACCTCATCAGGAGCATGCCCAGGCGTAGGGAGGTCATACAGGCACGTGGAGGCCACACACACTACTGAGCCTCATTTTGACTTGTTTTAAGGACATTACATCAAAGTTGGATCAGCCTGTAGTGTGGTTTCCCACTTTAATTTTGAGGGTGACTCCAAATCCAGACCTCCATGGGTTGATAAATTTGATTTCCATTGATAATGTTTGTGTGATTTTGTTGTCAGCACATTCAACTATGTAAAGAAAAAAGTATTTAATAAGATTATCTAATTCATTCAGATCTAGGATGTGTTGTTTAAGTGTTCCCTTAATTTTTTTGAGCAGTGTAGATACATATATACACACATACATATACATTATATATATACCTTCTGGCCACAGCTCGTATTGATGTGCCATCCTGGATGAGCTGCACTACCTGAGCCACTTGTGTGGGTTGTAGACTCCGTCTCATGCTACCACTAGAGTGAAAGCACCGCCATCATTCAAAAGTGACCAAAACATCAGCCAGGAAGCATAGGAACTGAGAAGTGGTCTGTGGTCACCACCTGCAGAACCAGTCCTTTATTGGGGGTGTCTTGCTAATTGCCTATAATTTCCACCTGTTGTCTATTCCATTTGCACAACAGCATGTGAAATGTATTGTCAATCAGTGTCGCTTCCTAAGTGGACAGTTTGATTTCACAGAAGTGTGATTGACTTGGAGTTACATTGTGTTGTTTAAGTGTTCCCTTTATTTTTTTGAGCAGTGTATATATACATATATACACATATATATACACATATATACAGTGGGGAGAACAAGTATTTGATACACTGCCGATTTTGCAGGTTTTCCTACTTACAAAGCATGTAGAGGTCTGTAAAAAAATCCAGAAAATCACATTGTATGATATTTAAGTAATTAATTTACATTTTATTGCATGACATAAGTATTTGATCACCTACCAACCAGTAAGAATTCCGGCTCTCACAGACCTGTTAGTTTTTCTTTAAGAAGCCCTCCTGTTCTCCACTCATTACCTGTATTAACTGCACCTGTTTGAACTCGTTACCTGTATAAAAGACACCTGTCCACACACTCAATCAAACAGACTCCAACCTCTCCACAATGGCCAAGACCAGAGAGCTGTGTAAGGACATCAGGGATAAAATTGTAGACCTGCACAAGGCTGGGATGGGCTACAGGACAATAGGCAAGCAGCTTGGTGAGAAGGTAACAACTGTTGGCGCAATTATTAGAAAATGAAAGAAGTTCAAGATGACGGTCAATCACCCTCGGTCTGGGGCTCCATGCAAGATCTCACCTCATGGGGCATCAATGATCATGAGGAAGGTGAGGGATCAGCCCAGAACTACACTGCAGGACCTGGTCAATGACCTGAAGAGAGCTGGGACCACAGTCTCAAAGAAAACCATTAGTAACACACTACGCCGTCATGGATTAAAATCCTGCAGCGCACGCAAGGTCCCCCTGCTCAAGCCAGCGCATGTCCCGTCTGAAGTTTGCCAATGACCATCTGGATGATCCAGAGGAGGAATGGGAGAAGGTCATGTGGTCTGATGAGACAAAAATATAGATTTTTGGTCTAAACTCCACTCGCCGTGTTTGTGTAACAGTTTTGCTTCCGTCCCTCTCCTCGCCCCTACCTGGGCTTGAACCAGGGACCCTCTGCACACATCGACAAAAGTCACCCTCGAAGCACCGTTACCCGTCGCTCCACAAAAGCCGCGGCCCTTGCAGAGCAAGGGAAACAACTACTTCAATGTCTCAGAGCGAGTGACGTCACCGATTTAAATGCCACTTGCGCGCACCGCTAACTAGCTAGCCATTTCACACCGGTTACATTTGGAGGAAGAAGGATGAGTACAACCCCAAGAACACCATCCCAACCGTGAAGCATGGAGGTGGAAACATCATTCTTTGGGGATGCTTTTCTGCAAAGGGGACAGGACGACTGCACCGTATTGAGGGGAGGATGGATGGGGCCATGTATCGCAAGATCTTGGCCAACAACCTCCTTCCCTCAGTAAGAGCATTGAAGATGGGTCGTGGCTGGGTCTTCCAGCATGACAACGACCCGAAACACACAGCCAGGGCAACTAAGGAGTGGCTCCGTAAGGAGCATCACAAGTTCCTGGAGTGGCCTAGCCAGTCTCCAGACCTGAACCCAATAGAAAATCTTTGGAGGGAGCTGAAAGTTCGTATTGCCCAGCGACAGCCCCGAAACCTGAAGGATCTGGAGAAGGTCTGTATGGAGGAGTGGGCCAAAATCCCTGCTGCAGTGTGTGCAAACCTGGTCAAGACCTACAGGAAATGTATGATCTCTGTAATTGCAAACAAAGGTTTCTTTTCTGTACCAAATATTAAGTTCTGCTTTTCTGATGTATCAAATACTTATGTCATGCAATAAAATGCAAATTAATTATTTAAAAATCATACAATGTGATTTTCTGGATTTTTGTTTTAGATTCCGTCTTTCACAGTTGAAGTGTACCTATGATAAAAATTACAGACCTCTACATGCTTGGTAAGTAGGAAAACCTGCAAAATCGGCAGTGTATCAAATACTTGTTCTCCCCACTGTATATATACATACATACAGTGAGGGAAAAAAGTATTTGATCCCCTGCTGATTTTGTACGTTTGCCCACTGACAAAGAAATGATCAGTCTATAATTTTAATGGTAGGTTTATTTGAACAGTGAGAGACAGAATAACAACAAAAAAATCCTGAAAAACGCATGTAAAAAATGTTATGAATTCATTCACAGTTGAAGTGTACCTATGATAAAAATTACAGACCTCTACATGCTTGGTAAGTAGGAAAACCTGCAAAATCGGCAGTGTATCAAATACTTGTTCTCCCCACTGTATATATACATACATACAGTGAGGGAAAAAAGTATTTGATCCCCTGCTGATTTTGTACGTTTGCCCACTGACAAAGAAATGATCAGTCTATAATTTTAATGGTAGGTTTATTTGAACAGTGAGAGACAGAATAACAACAAAAAAATCCTGAAAAACGCATGTAAAAAATGTTATGAATTCATTTGCATTTTAATGAGGGAAATAAGTATTTGACCCCTCTGCAAAACATGACTTAGTACTTGGTGGCAAAACCCTTGTTGGCAATCACAGATGTCCGACGTTTCTTGTAGTTGGCCACCAGGTTTGCACACATCTCAGGAGGGATTTTGTCCCACTCCTCTTTGCAGATCTTCTCAAAGTCATTAAGGTTTCGAGGCTGACGTTTGGCAACTCGAACCTTCAGCTCCCTCCACAGATTTTCTATGGGATTAAGGTCTGGAGACTGGCTAGGCACTCCAGGACCTTAATGTGCTTCTTCTTGAGCCACTCCTTTGTTGCCTTGTCCGTGTGTTTTGGGTCATTGTCATGCTGGAATACCCATCCACGACTCATTTTCAATGCCCTGGCTGAGGGAAGGAGGTTCTCACCCAAGATTTGACGGTACATGGCCCCGTTCATCGTCCCTTTGATGCGGTGAAGTTGTCCTGTCCCCTTAGCAGAAAAACACCCCCAAAGCATAATGTTTCCACCTCCATGTTTGACGGTGGGGATGGTGTTCTTGGGGTCATAGGCAGCATTCCTCCTCCTCCAAACACGGCGAGTTGAGTTGATGCCAAAGAGCTCGATTTTGGTCTCATCTGACCACAACACTTTCACCCAGTTCTCCTCTGAATCATTCAGATGTTCATTGACAAACTTCAGACGGCCCTGTATATGTGCTTTCTTGAGCAGGGGGACCTTGCGGGTGCGGCAGGATTTCAGTCCTTCACGGCGTAGTGTGTTACCAATTGTTTTCTTGGTGACTATGGTCCCAGCTGCCTTGAGATCATTGACAAGATCCTCCCGTGTAGTTCTGGGCTGATTCCTCACCGTTGTCATGATCATTGCAACTCCACGAGGTGAGATCTTGCATGGGAGATTGACAGTCTTTTGTGTTTCTTCCATTTGCGAATAATCGCACCAACTGTTGTCACCTTCTCACCAAGCTGCTTGGCGATGGTCTTGTAGCCCATTCCAGCCTTGTGTAGGTCTACAATCTTGTCCCTGACATCCTTGGAGAGCTCTTTGGTCTTGGCCATGGTGGAGAGTTTGGAATCTGATTAATTGATTGCTTCTGTGGACAGGTGTCTTTTATACAGGTAACAAGCTGAGATTAGGAGCACTCCCTTTAAGAGTGTGCTCCTAATCTCAGCTCGTTACCTGTATAAAAGACACCTGGGAGCCAGAAATCTTTCTGATTGAGAGGGTGTCAAATACTTATTTCCCTCATTAAAATGCAAATCAATTTCTAACATTTTTAACATGCGTTTTTCTGGATTTTTTTTCTGGACTTACCGAGGTTCAGACTCTGTGGAGACCGGTGGGGTTTTCCTTTGGGCTGGAGCTGGAGGTAAGGATGGGGGAGTGGACCTCACTGGGGCTGGAGCTGGGGGAGTAGACCTCACCGGGGCTGGAGCTGGGGGAGTAGACCTCACCGGGGCTGGAGCTGGGGGAGTAGACCTCACTGGGGCTGGAGCTGGGGGAGTAGACCTCCCTGGGGCTGGAGCTGGGGGAGTAGACCTCACTGGGGCTGGAGCTGGGGCTAAGGTTGAGGTCTGGATGGAGGGTTTGGAGGCCAGAGAAGGTCTCCTGTTCTCTGGGACGGCTGGCCCAGACACAGGAAGTGGAGAGGAGAGGAGAAAAGAGGAGGGTTCAAAACAAATGATTTTAGATTTTAATTACAGTCACAGTTAATAGTCATGTAAAGTTATGCGCATAATCACAGGAGGCTGCCGAGGGGAGCGACTGGAATGGTGTCAAATACTCAGAAATTATATTCAGAAAATATTCACACTCCTTCACTTTGTTGTGTTAATGCCCCTTGACTTATTCCACATTTTGTTGTTGCCAGAATTCAAAATGGATTCAATATTATTTTTCTCTCTCCACCATCTACACACATAATGACAAAGTGAATACACGTTTAAGAGACATTTTTGCAAATGTATTGAAAATGAAATACATAAATATCTCATTTAAAAGAAGTATTCACACCCCTGAGTCAATACATGTTAGAATCACCTTTGTCAGCGATTACAGCTGTGAGTCTTTCTGGGTAAGTCTCTAAGAGCTTCCCACACCTGGATTGGACAATATTTGCCCGTTATTCTTTAAAACATTCTTCAAGCTCTGTCAAGTTGGTTGTTGATCATTGCTTGACAACCCATTTTCAAATCTTGCCGATTTAAGTCAAAACTGTAACTAAGCCACTCAGGAACAATCAAGGTTGTCTTGGTAATCAACTCCAGTGTAGATCTGACCTTGTGTTTTCGGCTAACGTCAAATCAAATGTTATCTGTCACATGCGCCGAATACAACAGGTGTAGTAGACCTTACTGTGAAATGCTTACTTACAAGCCTTTAACCAACAATGCAGTTCAAGAAATAGAGCTAAGAAAATATTGACTAAATAAACTAGAGTAAAAAATGTAATAACAATAACATGTATATCAAGGGGGTACCGGTACAGAGTCAATGTGTGGGGGTACAGGTTAGTCGAGGTAATTTGTACATGTCGGTAGGGGTAAAGTGACTATGCATAGATAATAAACAGTGAGTAGCAGCAGTGTAAAAACAAAGGGGGGATGTCAATGTAAATAGTCCAGGTGGCCATTTGATTAATTGTTCAGGAGTCTTATGGCTTGGGGGTAGAAGCTGTTAAGGAGCCTTTTGGACCTAGACTTGGCACTCTGGTACCGCTTGTCTCCCAGTGTCTGGTGTAAAGCAGACTGAACCAGGTTTTCCTCTGGGATTTTGCCTGTGTTTAGCTCCATTCCATTTATTTTTACGGTTATTTTAATCCTGAAAAACTCCCTAGTCCTTGCCGATGACAAGCATAACATGATGCAGCCACCACCATACTTGAAAATATGAAGAGTGGTACTCAGTAACGTGTTGTATTGGATTTGCCCCAAACATAACACTTTGTATTCAGGACAGAAAGTTAATTTCTTTGCCACATTTTTTGCAGTTTTACTTTAGTGCCTTATTGCAAAAAGGATTCATGTTTTGGAATATTTTGTATTCTGTAAAAGCTTCCTTCTTTTCACTCTGTCCTTTAGGTTAGTATTGTGGAGTAACAACAATGTTGTTGATCCATCCTCAGTTTTCTCCTATCACAGCACTTGACCTCATGGTGAAATCCCTGAGCGGTTTCCTTCCTCTCCGGCAACTGAGTTAGGAAGGACACCTGTATATTTTGTAGTGACTGGGTGTATTGATACACCATCCAAAGTGTAATTAATAACTTCACCATGCTCAACGGGATATTCAACGTCTGTTTTTAGTTTTTTTTACCCATCTACCAATAGGTGCCCTTCTTTGCGAGGCATTGGAAAACCTCCCTGGTCTTTGTGGTTGAATCTGTGTTTGAAATTCACTGCTCGACTGAGGGACCTTACAGATAATTGTATGTGTGGGGGTACAGAGATGAGGTAGTCATTCAACAATCATGTTAAACACTATTATTGCATACAGACTGAGTCCATGCAACTTATTATTTGACTTGTTAAGCAAACGTTTACCCCTGAACTTATTTAGGCTTGCCATAACAAAGGGGTTGAATACTTTTATTGACTCAAGACATTTCAGCTTTTCATTTTTTATGAATTTGTAAAAAAAAGTCTAAACAATCATTTGTGTTTCACTTGGTGGGTTGAGTAACAAATTAGGACTATTTCACGTTCTCTGACACACATTCCTATAAAAAGAGAAAAACCCCACGTTTGATGAAAACAACTCAGTTAGCAGGCGTTCACACTTCTCAAACACACCGTTATATTGCAGCCATAGGTAGCTTTAGTGCTCAACACACACTTACCGCTCGCTCTACCGGATGACGTCATGGCAGTGGGCTTCCGAGCAACACAGGGTTTAGTGTTGGTGCTGTGGAGGTCTGCGGAGGGTTTAGTGTCGGTGCTGTGGAGGTCTGCGGAGGGTTTAGTGTTGGTGCTGTGGAGGTCTGCGGAGGGTTTAGTGTTGGTGCTGTGGAGGTCTGCGGAGGGTTTAGTGTTGGTGCTGTGGATGTCTGCGGAGGGTTTAGTGTTGGTGCTGTGGAGGTCTGCGGAGGGTTTAGTCCTGGGTGCTACTGGAGGTCTTGGAGGAGGACAGGGGATTGCGGGGGTCCCTTCTGTCTGCCCCGCCTGGCGGTCTGGTCTTAGGGGTTCAGAGGGGGGCTTTCTAGGGAGCAGGGGTCGGGGTGCAGGGACTGGGACAATAGGGTTAAGGGTAGAGACAGGAGCAAGGACGGGGGCACTTGAGGTGGTCTCACTGGGTTTGGGCTGGGCGGTGGTTGTATCAACAGTCAAGTTCACGGCCATCGCCACCGAGCCTCCCCCTTGCCAGAGTCCTTTGCAGGAGGAGGGTTTGGGGGCGACGGGAGGGGCCGGTTTGGGCGGGGCCTGGACTCTGTGATGGGGTTCAGGTCTCCCCCGCCCTAGCATCGCTCCGTTGTCTCCATGGCTATCATCTGTACGGTTACCGTGGTCCTCTACCTGTTGCTGCAGCTCGAAGGCTTGTATCCTGGCTCTCAGAGTACCCATGTCTTCCTCCTCCTCTTCTCCTCCCGAGTCGCTCTCTCCGTTGTCGTTGCTATGGTGATCAGGGAAGCCCCAATCATCAGAGCTGAAAGCGTCCAGGAGCTCCTGAAGGTATTTCCCCTCCTGATGACTCAAATCCTGGTTCTCTGTGACCTCACTTCCAGTCTGTCCCAGCCTCACCAGGGTCTGAACCTTGACCTCTCGCCTGATTGGTCGAAGGCTATTCTTTGTGCGAGGGTGTGGCCTGGGATGGTTATGGAGCAGAGGAGGGGCGGAGGGAGTTGTCAAGGCAACAGTTGAATGAGGTGGCGGGACCAAGGAGGACTGCACCCAATGGTCGGTCTGGCTGCCAGAGGCAGAGGTCAGAGGTGAGAAAGGATCAGAGGTCAAGAGGTCGCTGTGAAACGCTGCTGGTCTGGTGTCCTCGGTGTGTCTGCTGGTCGGAGTGTGTGTGTGTAGTGCTGGACTGTCTTCTAGGAAGAGCAGAGAGTCGACAGTAGCAGTAGCAGCCCCCGTCGTGTCATCAGCGTGCGACGTCGTGTCATCAGCGTGCGACGGTTTGGATATAAAGGGATAAGAAGGTCTGGGAGGCTTTGGAGCTCTCCTGGCTACAAACAAACACCAATTCACACATTGAAGCAACAAGCACCAGTACAAGTAGGATGAATTTGACCTAATGTCAGATGTTGGACCCCAAAACAGCCTCTCAACCATACCTCAAAACATGAAACTAATCTAGAACTCCACACCCCAAAACAGCCTCTCAACCATACCTCAAAACATGAAACTAATCTAGAACTCCACACCCCAAAACAGCCTCTCAACCATACCTCAAAACATGAAACTAATCTAGAACTCCACACCCCAAAACAGCCTCTCAACCATACCTCAAAACATGAAACTAATCTAGAACGCCACACCCCAAAACAGCCTCTCAACCATACCTCAAAACATGATACTAATCTAGAACTCCACACCCCAAAACAGCCTCTCAACCATACCTCAAAACATGAAACTAATCTAGAACTCCACACCCCAAAACAGCCTCTCAACCATACCTCAAAACATGAAACTAATCTAGAACTCCACACCCCCAAAACAGCCTCTCAACCATACCTCAAAACATGAAACTAATCTAGAACTCCACACCCCAAAACAGCCTCTCAACCATACCTCAAAACATGAAACTAATCTAGAACTCCACACCCCAAAACAGCCTCTCAACCATACCTCAAACATGAAACTAATCTAGAACTCCACACCCCAAAACAGCCTCTCAACCATACCTCAAAACATGAAACTAATCTAGAACTCCACACCCCAAAACAGCCTCTCAACCATACCTCAAAACATGAAACTAATCTAGAACTCCACACCCCAAAACAGCCTCTCAACCATACCTCAAAACATGAAACTCATCTAGAACTCCACACCCCAAAACAGCCTCTCAACCATACCTCAAAACATGAAACTAATCTAGAACTCCACAACCCCAAAACAGCCTCTCAACCATACCTCAAAACATGAAACTAATCTAGAACTCCACACCCCAAAACAGCCTCTCAACCATACCTCAAAACATGAAACTAATCTAGAACTCCACACCCCAAAACAGCCTCTCAACCATACCTCAAAACATGAAACTAATCTAGAACTCCACACCCCCAAAACAGCCTCTCAACCATACCTCAAAACATGAAACTAATCTAGAACTCCACACCCCAAAACAGCCTCTCAACCATACCTCAAAACATGAAAACTAATCTAGAACTCCACACCCCAAAACAGCCTCTCAACCATACCTCAAAACATGAAACTAATCTAGAACTCCACACCCCAAAACAGCCTCTCAACCATACCTCAAAACATGAAACTAATCTAGAACTCCACACCCCAAAACAGCCTCTCAACCATACCTCAAAACATGAAACTAATCTAGAACTCCACACCCCAAAACAGCCTCTCAACCATACCTCAAAACATGAAACTACTCTAGAACTCCACACCCCAAAACAGCCTCTCAAACCATACCTCAAAACATGAAACTAATCTAGAACTCCACACCCCAAAACAGCCTCTCAACCATACCTCAAAACATGAAACTACTCTAGAACTCCACACCCCAAAACAGCCTCTCAACCATACCTCAAAACATGAAACTAATCTAGAACTCCACACCCCAAAACAGCCTCTCAACCATACCTCAAAACATGAAACTAATCTAGAACTCCACACCCCAAAACAGAACTCTAGGAACTGATTACTATGTGCTTCAACCTCCCCTCCCCCCTCCTCCTCCTCCTCCTCCTCCCCCTCTCTTACCCACTGACCCTCTCTGGACTGGGGCGTGACTGTGGGTTGGAACTGAGGATTCAGGTCCGGTGTCAGTCTGCGTAGCGATGGTAGTCGTGGAGACGGAGCGTAGGGGTGAGGAGGATGAGGAGGAGGAGGGAGGCAACCCTTGAACCTGTTCCTGTCTCTTCTCTCTAATCACCTCATCATAGGACGGGGGAGGCTGGGGGAGGGAGGGAGAGAGTGAGGGAGAAAGAACCCAGATTATAGCAAATCATCCAATCGACCCCAAAGTGTGTCAGGGCTAAACACAGTGAACATATTTAAAGAGATATTGAAAACCTCGACAGGTATTTATTAGGGTTGGGCGATGTCAACCTTGTGATATATGATGGTTTTGCTCCCCCCCCCCGCCTGATTCACACGGTTACTACATGATGTCATCAAGGCAAAAGGGTGGCTACTTTGAAGAATCTCAAATATAAAATATATTTTGATTTTTTAAACACTTTTTTGGTTACTACATGATTCCATATGTGTTATTTCATAGTTTTGATGTCTTCACTATTATTGTACAATGTAGAAAATAGTAAAAAATAAAGAAAAACCCTGGAATGAGTAGGTGTGTCCAAACTTTTGACTGGTACTGTATATACAGTTGAAGTCGGAAGTTTACATACACCTTAGCCAAATATATTTAAATTCAGTTTTTCACAATTCCTGACATTTAATCCTAGTAAAAATTCCCTGTCTTAGGTCAGTTAGGATCACCACTTTATTTTAAGAATGTGAAATGTCAGAATAATAGTAGAGAGAATGATTTATTTCAGCTTTTATTTCATTCATCACATTCCCAGTGGGTCAGAAGTTTACATACACTCAATTCGTATTTGGTAGCATTGCCTTTAAATTGTTTAACTTGGGTCAAACATGTCGGGTAGCCTTCCACAAGCTTCCCACAATAAGTTGGGTGAATTTTGGCCCATTCCTCCTGACAGAGTTGGTGTAACTGAGTCAGGTTTGTAGGCCTCCTTGCTCGCACACGCTTTTTCAGTTCTGCCCACAAATGTTCTATAGGATTGAGGTCAGGGCTTTGTGATGGCCACTCCAATACCTTGACTTTGTTGTCCTTAAGCCATTTTGCCACAACTTTGGAAGTATGCTTGGGGTCATTGTCCATTTGGAAGACCCATTTGCGACCATGTTTTAACTTCCTGACTGATGTCTTGAGATGTTGCTTCAATATATCCACATAATTGTCCTTCCTCATGATGCCATCTATTTTGTGAAGTGCACCAGTCCCTCCTGCAGCAAAGCACCCCCACAGCATGATGCTGCCACCCCCGTGCTTCACGGTTGGGATGGTGTTCTTCGGCTTGCAAGCCAACCCCCTTTTTCCTCCAAACATAACGATGGTCATTATGGCCAAACAGTTCTATTTTTGTTTCATCAGACCAGAGGACATTTCTCCAAAAAGTACGATCTTTATCCCCATGTGCAGTTGCAAACCATAGTCTGGCTTTTTTATGGCAGTTTTGGAGCAGTGGCTTCTTCCTTGCTGAGCGGCCTTTCAGGTTATGTCGATATAGGACTCGTTTTACTGTGGATATAGATACTTTTGTACCTGTTTCCTCCAGCATCTTCACAAGGTCCTTTGCTGTTGTTCTGGGATTGATTTGCACTTTTCGCACAAAAGTACATTCATCTCTAGGAGACAGAACGCGTCTCCTTCCTGAGCAGTATGACGGCTGCGTGGTCCCATGGTGTTTATACTTGCGTACTATTGTTTGTACAGATGAACGTGGTACCTTCAGGCGTTTGGAAATTGCTCCCAAGGATGAACCAGACTTGTGGAGGTCTACAATTGTTTTCTGAGGTCTTGACTGATTTCTTTTGATTTTCCCATGATGTCAAGCAAAGAGGCACTGAGTTTGAAGGTAGGCCTTGAAATACATCCACAGGTACACCACCAATTGACTCAAATGATGTCAATTAGCCTATCAGAAGCTTCTAAAGCCATGACATCATTTTCTGGAATTTTCCAAGCTGTTTGAAAGCACAGTCAACTTAGTGTATGTAAACTTCTGACCCACTGGAATTGTGATACAGTGAATTATAAGTGAAATAATCTGTCTGTAAACAATTGTTGGAAAAATTACTTGTGTCATGCACAAAGTAGATGTCCTAACCAACTTGCCAAAACTATAGTTCGTTAACAAGACATTTGTGGAGTGGTTGAAAAACAAGTTTTAATGACTCCAACCTAAGTGTATGTAAACTTCCAACTTCAACTGTATATATATTTTAGATGGTAAAACGTTTTCAATGTAAACTTAAATGACTAAAACCAGATATAAAGTCTGTAGAAAAGATAATGGAGCAATATATAAATTATAAATAAATACAATATATTTTCAAATAAGATCGTCTTTTTTAATTTTTTGTATTTATCCCCTTTTACCGCACTAATGTGTCAGAGGAAACACTGTTCAACTGGTGACTGGGGTCAGCCTGCAGGCACCTGGCCCGCCACAAGGAGTCGCTAGGGCGAGATGAGCCAAATAAAGCCCCCCATGCCAAACCCTCCCCTAACCTGGACGACGCTGGGCCAAACCCTCCCCTAACCCTGACGACGCTGGGCCAAACCCTCCCCTAACCCTGACGACGCTGGGCCAAACCCTCCCCTAACCCTGACGACGCTGGGCCAAACCCTCCCCTAACCTGGACGACCCCCGGCCAAACCCTCCCCTAACCCGGACGACGCTGGGCCAAACCCTCCCCTAACCCGGACGACGCTGGGCCAAACCCTCCCCTACCCTGGACGACGCTGGGCCAAACCCTCCCCTAACCTGGACGACGCTGGGCCAAACCCTCCCCTAACCTGGACGACGCTGGGCCAAACCCTCCCCTAACCCGGACGACGCTGGGCCAAACCCTCCCCTAACCCGGATGACGCTGGGCCAAACCCTCCCCTAACGACGCTGGGCCAAACCCTCCCCTAACCTGGACGACGCTGGGCCGAACCCTCCCCTAACCCGGACGACGCTGGGCCAAACCCTCCCCTAACCCGGACGACGCTGGGCCAAACCCTCCCCTAACCCGGACGACGCTGGGCCAAACCCTCCCCTAACCCGGACGACGCTGGGCCAAACCCTCCCCTAACCCGGACGACGCTGGGCCAAACCCTCCCCTAACCTGGACGACGCTGGGCCAAACCCTCCCCTAACCCGGACGACGCTGGGCCAAACCATCCCCTAACCCGGACGACGCTGGGCCAAACCCTCCCCTAACCCGGACGACGCTGGGCCAAACCCTCCCATAACCCGGACGACGCTGGGCCAAACCCTCCCCTAACCTGGACGACGCTGGGCCAAACCCTCCCCTAACCCGGATGACGCTGGGCCAAGCCCTCCCCTAACCCGGACGACGCTGGGCCAAACCATCCACTAACCCGGACGACACTGGGCCAATTTGCCACGGCCGGTTGTGGCACAGCCCGGGAATGAACCCAAAATAAGATCATCTTTGAGAACTAACAATCACCAAAACAAAAACTAGACAGTCAGGTCTGTCAACTTCACTGTTGATACAACCACCGCCCAAGCCCAAACATGTCATGGCATAGGACCCCCATTGATTTAGTTATAATCACTCAGATGACATAAGAACACGGAATAAGCCATGGCAAAATGCTTTAAAGGCTCAGCGCACTCAAAAACGTGATTTTCATGTTTTACAAAATAATATTTCCAAACTATGAGGACGAAATAACACTCAGACATTTAGAAAATTATGATAATGCACTTTTTGTGTAAGAGTTGTTTGAAGAAAAAAATCCTGGAATTTCAGCCTGAACAGGTGGGATGGAACTTTTGCCCCACATCATGACATCACAATGTGATCTGATTATAATTGTCCCAGTCGGTATTCACGTAATAATAAGCAATTCCCCTCGACCACGCCCACAAATTGACGGAAAACCAACATTCAGGGTTAGTTACCTGTATAGTTGGAGGTATACTGCTGCCCCAGGTCATAGTGGTGGGAGGAGGAAGAGGAGGAGGAGGAAGAGGAGGGTTAGTTACCTGTATAGTTGGAGGTATACTGCTGCTCCAGGTCATAGTGGTGGGAGGAGGAGGAGGAGGAGGAGGAAGAGGAGGGTTAGTTACCTGTATAGTAGGAGGTATACTGCTGCCCCAGATCTGAGCGGCGGGAGGAGGGGGCGGAGGGAATCCCCCAGAAGCCCCGGGGAACCAGGTGTTAGACACCAGCGGCTCTGCTGAAAGGATGGTGATCTCTGGACGCCTGACGTAGAAATACAACACATAAGGAGGACATGAGCATAGAGCTAGGACAACATAGAGGACATCAGCATAGAGCTAGGACAACAGAGGACATCAGCATAGAGCTAGGACAACATAGAGGACATCAGCATAGAGCTAGGACAACAGAGGACATCAGCATAGAGCTAGGACAACATAGAGGACATCAGTATAGAGCTAGGACAACATAGAGGACATCAGTATAGAGCTAGGACAACATAGAGGACATCAGCATAGAGCTAGGACAACATAGAGGACATCAGCATAGAGCTAGGACAACATAGAGGACATCAGCATAGAACTAGGACAACATAGAGGACATCAGCATAGAGCTAGGACAACAGAGGACATCAGCATAGAGCTAGGACAACATAGAGGACATCAGTATAGAGCTAGGACAACATAGATGACATCAGCATAGAGCTAGGACAACATAGAGGACATCAGCATAGAGCTAGGACAACATAGAGGACATCAGGATAGAGCTAGGACAACATAGAGGACATCAGGATAGAGCTAGGACAACATAGAGGACATCAGCATAGAGCTAGGACAACATAGAGGACATCAGGATAGAGCTAGGACAACATAGAGGACATCAGCCTGGAGCTAGGACAACAGAGGACATCAGCCTGGAGCTAGGACAACATAGAGGACATCAGGATAGAGCTAGGACAACATAGAGGACATCAGCGTAGAGCTAGGACAACATAGAGGACATCATCATAGAGCTAGGACAACATAGAGGACATCAGTATAGAGCTAGGACAACATAGAGGACATCAGGATAAAGCTAGGACAACATAGAGGACATCAGGATAGAGCTAGGACAACATAGAGGACATCAGCATAGAGCTAGGACAACATAGAGGATATCAGCGTAGAGCTAGGACAACAGAGAGGACATCAGCATAGAGCTAGGACAACATAGAGGACATCAGCGTAGAGCTAGGACAACATAGAGGACATCAGCATAGAGCTAGGACAACATAGAGGACATCAGCATAGAGCTAGGACAACATAGAGGACATCAGTATAGAGCTAGGACAACATAGAGGACATCAGCATAGAGCTAGGACAACATAGAAGACATCAGCATAGAGCTAGGACAACATAGAGGACATCAGGATAGAGCTAGGACAACATAGAGGACATCAGCGTAGAGCTAGGACAACATAGAGGACATCAGCGTAGAGCTAGGACAACATAGAGGACATCAGCGTAGAGCTAGGACAACATAGAGGACATCAGCGTAGAGCTAGGACAACATAGAGGACATCAGCATAGAGCTAGGACAACATAGAGGACATCAGCATAGAGCTAGGACAACATAGAGGACATCAGCCTGGAGCTAGGACAACATAGAGGACATCAGCCTGGAGCTAGGACAACATAGAGGACATCAGGATAGAGCTAGGACAACATAGAGGACATCAGCGTAGAGCTAGGACAACATAGAGGACATCATCATAGAGCTAGGACAACATAGAGGACATCAGTATAGAGCTAGGACAACATAGAGGACATCAGGATAAAGCTAGGACAACATAGAGGACATCAGGATAGAGCTAGGACAACATAGAGGACATCAGCATAGAGCTAGGACAACATAGAGGATATCAGCGTAGAGCTAGGACAACATAGAGGACATCAGCATAGAGCTAGGACAACATAGAGGATATCATCATAGAGCTAGGACAACATAGAGGACATCAGCATAGAGCTAGGACAACAGAGGACATCAGCATAGAGCTAGGACAACATAGAGGACATCAGCATAGAGCTAGGACAACATAGAGGATATCAGCGTAGAGCTAGGACAACATAGAGGACATCAGCGTAGAGCTAGGACAACATAGAGGACATCAGCATAGAGCTAGGACAACATAGAGGACATCAGCATAGAGCTAGGACAACATAGAGGATATCATCATAGAGCTAGGACAACATAGAGGACATCAGCGTAGAGCTAGGACAACATAGAGGATATCAGCGTAGAGCTAGGACAACATAGAGGACATCAGCGTAGAGCTAGGACAACATAGAGGACATCAGCGTAGAGCTAGGACAACATAGAGGACATCAGCGTAGAGCTAGGACAACATAGAGGACATCAACCTGATGGAGAAATAGAAGAGAAAGATACATACAGGTAACTGCCAAAATAAAGGAAACAGTAACATAGTGTCTTAAAGGGTTGGAACCAAAAATAATTATTTTCCTGAACAGAACCTTTATTTATAGCAAATTGTATTTTTCTGTAATAGCATCACAATGACAGACAAACACCCACACACACCCACACCCACACACACACACACACACACACACACACACACTGTGCAGCCAGTCACTATGGACATGTTGCGAGAGGGGAGAGCGTGAGAGAGGGTTGAGGAGGAGTCTTGGCTTGAAGCGCTGGGCATCTTGTTATGACATGCATTATCTGAATTAGGCCCACAGAATTATACCTACGGAGGAGCGGCTTCTATGAAGGAACTTTGAATGTCTTTGTACTTCCAAGAGTTGGCTTAACGTTGGGCCAGAGCAAACGTTAGCTAGACAGCTAGCTTGTGCGTGCAGAGCAGCACTACAATTAAAAACACGTCTTACCTTTTTGTAATTAATAAACCCAAAGTGAAACGTGATAACTATAGTATCCTTAACTAGCATTGAAAAAGTGAATCCATTCTCCTCTATTTAAACATCTCTCTCCCTAATTTCTGAATCACCCTTGTAACGTCGTCAGTAGGCTACAGTAACCTATGCTTCGGAGGGGAAGAGGCAGGTAGCCTACATACACGCACACAAAGGCAAAGATTTTCCAGCAGGCGCTGGAATGAGTGACCGAGTGAGAGCTTTGCATAGGTGCTTTGTTGCGATTTTTGTGGGACTGGAAAAAAAAAAATGCCCGGGAACGTAACCGGTTCCCATGATTTTAAAATAACGGTTCGGATTACGGAACAGTATAGTTCACTTTGGTTTCCGGTTCTGATTCTGTTCTTTCCCGGTTTTGTTGCAAATACAAAAATGCACTATTTCTCAACGTCATATTGTAGCTAGCTCAAGCTGGCTAACGTTAGCCACACCTCATGCTCTTCTAGTCACAGGCTCTGGTGCCTTCTTGCCGTGGGCTCAAAACGAACGAGAAAATCCTACCTGCTCTAATTGTGTAGTACCTCGTCTGTTCTCCTTTTTACTTTTTGATGAGGGGTGGTCGTTTGACCGCGGACCCGTTACGGACGCAGGCATTAAGGCAGTGATCGCTGAGATCCTGGTTGAAGACAGCGCAGGTGTATTTAGAGGGTAAGTTAGTCAGGATGATATCTATGAGGGTGCTCATGTTTACGGATTTAGGGTTGTACCTGGTAGGTTCCTTGATAATTTGTGTGAGATTGAGGGCATCTAGTTTGGATTGTAGGACGGCCGGGGTGTTAAGCATATCCCAGTTTAGGTCACCAAGCAGTACGAACTCTGAGGATAGATGTGGGGCAAGCAATTCACATATGGTGTCCATGGCACAACTGGGGGCTGAGGGGGGTCTGTAGCAAGCGGCAACAGTGAGAGACTTATTTCTGGAAAGGTGGATTTTTAGAAGTAGAAGCTCAAACTGTTTGGGCACCGACCTGGATAGTATGATAGAGCTCTGCAGGCTCTCTCTACAGTAGATTGCAACTCCACCCCCTTTGGCAGTTCTATCTAGACGGAAAATGTTGTAGTTGGGGATGGACATTTCTGCATTTTTGGTGGCCTTCCTAAGCCAGGATTCAGACACTGCTAGAACATCAGGGTTGGCAGAGTGTGCTAACGCAGTGAATAACTCAAACTTAGGAAGGAGGCTTCTGATGTTAACGTTCAGAAAACCAAGGCTTTTACGGTTACAGAAGTCAACAAATGATAGCTCCTGGGGAGTAGGAGTGATACTGGGGGCTGCAGGGCCTGGGTTAACCTCTACATCACCAGAGGAACAGTGGAGGACTAGAATAAGGATACGGCTAAAGGCTTTAAGAACTGGTCTTCTAGTGCGTTGGGTAAAGAGAATAAAGGGGGCAGGTTTCCGGGCGTTGTAGAATAGATTCAGGGCATTATGTACAGACAAGGATATGGAAGGATCTGAGTACAGTGGAGGTAAACCTAAGCGTTGGGTAACAATGAAAGAGATAGCATCACTGGAGGCACCGATTGAGCCCGTCTCGGCGTGTATGGGGGGGTGGAACAAAGGAGCTTTTTGAGGCAGTTTGAGAATGACTTGGTTCTACAGTGAAATTGTATAATAAGAACTAACTGGAACAGCAATAGGCAAGGCATATTGACATGGGAGAGAGGCATAAAGCAATCACAGGTGTTATTAGAGAGAGCTAAGACAACAACTGGTAATGGCAATGAAAGTTTGGGCTGAACAGGACAGGGTACCGCGTAAAGGAACAGTCCAGCAGGCATCAGCTGTGCAGCTGAGTGATCATAAGGTCCAGTGAACAGCAATATGTGAGTCCGAGAGCAGTTCGAATTGGTGCTACAGCACAGCGAGCAGGAAGCACGGCTGTTGTTTGCGTGTGCTAGCGGGCCGGGGCTAGCAGATGGATCTTCGTGGTCGTCGCAACGGGAAGCCTGTTGAAACCACAGACGATTACGTCGGCAGACCAGTCGTGATGGATCGGCGGGGCTCCGTGTCGACTCTAGGAGGTCCCGTCCGGTTGACAGAGAGGTAGATAGCCGGGAGATGTGCCTGACTCGAGGCTAGCTCAAGGCTAATTAGCCAACAACAACATCCATTTGGTTGCAGCTAGCTAGTTGCGATGATCAGGTGTTAAAGGTCCAGTGATTTAGTGATTCCGGCAGAAAATCCGATATGTTCTGGGTCGATAACGCGCTGTGCAGACTGGCCGATAATAGTCCAGGCTAGAGCTGGCTGGTAGGTAGTGCAGGCCACAGACAATGGTGAAAAAACCGCTAACGGTGGCTAATAGCAAGTTTCAACCTTGCAAGTTGATTTGTAACAATACATTCATAAAGTATTTGTGTGTACTGTAGGTTGGCAGGAAATGTAATTGAAACCAGCAGTCATGAGTGCAAACTATTTGGTTTAATTTGAAGTTATACATTTGAAGTTATTTCTGTTGGAGTTGACATTATAGTGAATAGGCTGGCTGGCCGGGTCCTCCATATTACATCACAGCCCGAAAAAAAAAAAAAAAATCACACATGACTTCGGCATTCTGACCAAAAATAGAAAATGTGAGGTGTAACTTTGCATTGGGACATTTGATGCGTATACTAATGCAAATCCATACGTTACATGTGGTTACATTTATGCTACCTACCCTTTAATAGGGCGTTGGGCCACCACGATCCGCCAGAACAGCTTCAATGTGCCTTGGCAGAGATTCTACAAGTGTCTGGAACTCTATTGGAGGGATGCGACACCGTTCTTCCATAAGAAATTCCATATTATTTATATATATATATATATATATATATATATATATATATATATATATATATATATATATATATATATATATATATATATATATATATATATATACACACACACACACACAGTGGGGAGAACAAGTATTTGATACACTGCCGATTTTGCAGGTTTTCCTACTTACAAAGCATGTAGAGGTCTGTAATTTGTATCATAGGTACACTTCAACTGTGAGAGACGGAATCTAAAACAAAAATCCAGAAAATCACATAGTATGATTTTTAAGTAATTAATTTGCATTTTATTGCATGACATAAGTATTTGATACATCAGAAAAGCAGAACTTAATATTTGGTACAGACACCTTTGTTTGCAATTACAGAGATCATACGTTTCCTGTAGGTCTTGACCAGGTTTGCACACACTGCAGCAGGGATTTTGGCCCACTCCTCCATACAGACCTTCTCCAGATCCTTCAGGTTTCGGGGCTGTCGCTGGGCAATACGGACTTTCAGCTCCCTCCAAAGATGTTCTATTGGGTTCAGGTCTGGAGACTGGCTAGGCCACTCCAGGACCTTGAGATGCTTCTTACGGAGCCACTCCTTAGTTGCCCTGGCTGTGTGTTTCGGGTCGTTGTCATGCTGGAAGACCCAGCCACGACCCATCTTCAATGCTCTTACTGAGGGAAGGAGGTTGTTGGCCAAGATCTCACGATACATGGCCCCATCCATCCTCCCCTCAATACGGTGCAGTCGTCCTGTCCCCTTTGCAGAAAAGCATCCCCAAAGAATGATGTTTCCACCTCCATGCTTCACGGTTGGGATGGTGTTCTTGGGGTTGTACTCATCCTTCTTCTTCCTCCAAACACGGTGAGTGGAGTTTAGACCAAAAAGCTCTATTTTTGTCTCATCAGACCACATGACCTTCTCCCATTCCTCCTCTGGATCATCCAGATGGTCATTGGCAAACTTCAGACGGGCCTGGACATGCGCTGGCTTGAGCAGGGGGACCTTGCGTGCACTGCAGGATTTTAATCCATGACGGCGTAGTGTGTTACTAATGGTTTTCTTTGAGACTGATGTCCTTACACAGCTCTCTGGTCTTGGCCATTGTGGAGAGGTTGGAGTCTGTTTGATTGAGTGTGTGGACAGGTGTCTTTTATACAAGTAACGAGTTCAAACAGGTGCAGTTAATAAAGGTAATGAGTGGAGAACAGGAGGGCTTCTTAAAGAAAAACTAACAGGTCTGTGAGAGCCGGAATTCTTACTGGTTGGTAGGTGATCAACATTTACATTTTACATTTTAGTCATTTAGCAGACGCTCTTATCCAGAGCGACTTACATCAGCAATTAGGGTTAAGTGCCTTGCTTAAGGGCACATCGACAGATTTTTCACCTAGTCGGCTCAGGGATTAGAACCAGCGACCTTTCAGTTACTGGCACAACGCTCTTACCCACTAAGCTACCTGCCGCCCTATCAAATACTTATGTCATGCAATAAAATGCAAATTAATTACTTAAAAATCATACAATGTGATTTTCTGGATTTTTGTTTTAGATACCGTCTCTCACAGTTGAAGTGTACCTATGATAAAAAATTACAGACCTCTACATGCTTTGTAAGTAGGAAAACCTGCAGAATCGGCAGTGTATCAAATACTTGTTCTCCCCACTGTATATACACTGCACAAAAATTATCAATGGAAATCAAATTTATCAACCCATGGAGGTCTGGATTTGGAGTGACCCTCAAAATTAAAGTAGAAAACCACACTACAGGCTGATCCAACTTTGATGTAATGTCCTTAAAACAAGTCAAAATGAGGCTCAGTAGTGTGTGTGGCCTCCACGTGCCTGTATGACCTCCCTACAACGCCTGGACAGTCTGTGGTGCAAAGTGGCGTTGGTGGATGGAGCGAGACATGATGTCCCAGATGTGCTCAATTGGATTCAGGTCTGGGGAACGGGCGGGCCAGTCCATAGCATCAATGCCTTCCTCTTGCAGGAACTGCTGACACACTCCAGCCACATGAGGTCTAGCATTTTCTTGCATTAGGAGGAACACAGGGCCAACCGCACCAGCATATGGTCTCACAAGGGGTCTGAGGATCTCATCTCGGTACCTAATGGCAGTCAGGCTACCTTTGGCGAGCACATGGAGGGCTGTGCAGCCCCCCAAAGAAATGCCATCCCACACCATGACTGACCCACCGCCAAACCGGTCATGCTGGAGGATGTTGCAGGCAGCAGAACGTTCTCCACGGCATCTCCAGACTCTGTCACGTCTGTCACGTGCTCAGTGTGAACCTGCTTTCATCTGTGAAGAGCACAGGGCGCCAGTGGCGAATTTGCCAATCTTGGTGTTCTCTGGCAAATGCCAAACGTCCTGCACGGTGTTGGGCTGTAAGCATAACCCCCCACCTGTGGACGTCGGGCCCTCATACCACCCTCATGGAGTCTGTTTCTGACCGTTTGAGCAGACACATGCACATTTGTGGCCTGTTGGAGGTCATTTTGCAGGGCTCTGGCAGTGCTCCTCCTGCTCCTCCTTGCACAAAGGCGGAGGTAGCAGTCCTGCTGCTGGGTTGTTGCCCTCCTACGGCCTCCTCCACGTCTCCTGATGTACTGGCCTGTCTCCTGGTAGCGCCTCCATGCTCTGGACACTACGCTGACAGACACAGCAAACCTTCTTGCCACAGCTCGCATTGATGTGCCATCCTGGATGAGCTGCACTACCTGAGCCACTTGTGTGGGTTGTAGACTCCGTCTCTCATGCTACCACTAGAGTGAAAGCACCGTCAGCATTCAAAAGTGACCAAAACATCAGCCAGGAAGCATAGGAACTGAGAAGTGGTCTGTGGTCACCACCTGCAAAACCAGTCCTTTATTGGGGGTGTCTTGCTAATTGCCTATTATTTCCACCTGTTGTCTATTCCATTTGCACAACAGCATGTGAAATGTATTGTCAATCAGTGTTGCTTCCTAAGTGGACAGTTTGATTTCACAGAAATGTGATTGACTTGGAGTTACATTGTGTTGTTTAAGTGTTCCCTTTATTTTTTTGAGCAGTGTGTGTATATATATATATATATATATATATATACATATACACACACACACACACACACACACACAGTGGGGGAAAAAAGTATTTAGTCAGCCACCAATTGTGCAAGTTCTCCCACTTAAAAAGATGAGAGAGGCCTGTAATTTTCATCATAGGTACACGTCAACTATGACAGACAAATTGAGAATTTTTTTCTCCAGAAAATCACATTGTAGGATTTTTAATGAATTTATTTGCAAATTATGGTGGAAAATAAGTATTTGGTCACCTACAAACAAGCAAGATTTCTGGCTCTCACAGACCTGTAACTTCTTCTTTAAGAGGCTCCTCTGTCCTCCACTCGTTACCTGTATTAATGGCACCTGTTTGAACTTGTTATCAGTATAAAAGACACCTGTCCACAACCTCAAACAGTCACACTCCAAACTCCACTATGGCCAAGACCAAAGAGCTGTCAAAGGACACCAGAAACAAAATTGTAGACCTGCACCAGGCTGGGAAGACTGAATCTGCAATAGGTAAGCAGCTTGGTTTGAAGAAATCAACTGTGGGAGCAATTATTAGGAAATGGAAGACATACAAGACCACTGATAATCTCCCTCGATCTGGGGCTCCACGCAAGATCTCACCCCGTGGGGTCAAAATGATCACAAGAACGGTGAGCAAAAATCCCAGAACCACACGGGGGGACCTAGTGAATGACCTGCAGAGAGCTGGGACCAAAGTAACAAAGCCTACCATCAGTAACACACTACGCCGCCAGGGACTCAAATCCTGCAGTGCCAGACGTGTCCCCCTGCTTAAGCCAGTACATGTCCAGGCCCGTCTGAAGTTTGCTAGAGTGCATTTGGATGATCCAGAAGAGGATTGGGAGAATGTCATATGGTCAGATGAAACCAAAATAGAACTTTTTGGTAAAAACTCAACTCGTCGTGTTTGGAGGACAAAGAATGCTGAGTTGCATCCAAAGAACACCATACCTACTGTGAAGCATGGGGGTGGAAACATCATGCTTTGGGGCTGTTTTTCTGCAAAGGGACCAGGACGACTGATTCGTGTAAAGGAAAGAATGAATGGGGCCATGTATCGTGACATTTTGAGTGAAAACCTCCTTCCATCAGCAAGGGCATTGAAGATGAAACGTGGCTGGGTCTTTCAGCATGACAATGATCCCAAACACACCGCCCGGGCAACGAAGGAGTGGCTTCATAAGAAGCATTTCAAGGTCCTGGAGTGGCCTAGCCAGTCTCCAGATCTCAACCCCATAGAAAATCTTTGGAGGGAGTTGAAAGTCCGTGTTGCCCAGCGACAGCCCCAAAACATCTCTGCTCTAGAGGAGATCTGCATGGAGGAATGGGCCAAAATACCAGCAACAGTGTGTGAAAACCTTGTGAAGACTTACAGAAAACATTTGACCTGTGTCATTGCCAACAAAGGGTATATAACAAAGTATTGAGAAACTTTTGTTATTGACCAAATACTTATTTTCCACCATAATTTGCAAATAAATTCATTAAAAATCCTACAATGTGATTTCTGGATTCTTTTTTCTCATTTTGTCTGTCATAGTTGACGTGTACCTATGATGAAAATTACAGGCCTCTCTCATCTTTTTAAGTGGGAGAACTTGCACAATTGGTGGCTGACTAAATACTTTTTCCCCCCACTGTATATATATATATATATATATGTTGTTGTTTTTTTATAGTGGTGGAAAACGCTGTTTCAGGAGCCGCTCCAGAATCTTCCAGAAGTGTTCAATTGGGTTGAGATCTGGTGACTGAGACACACACACACACACACACACACACACACACACACACACACACACCCTTTAAACCCCCTATGCTACTTTGAGACCCCTCTTTTCAAAGTTACTGAGATTTCTTCTTCTAGCCATTACAGCCAAAATAACGGGCAACTGGGCATTTTTATACATGACCCTAAGCATGATGGGATGTTAACTGCTTAATTAACTCAGGAAAAAAACACAGCAGTGTGTCAATATACTTCGTATCCCTCATTTCTTTACTTTGGCAGTTACCTTAGAAATAGACCAATATAGATAGTGTAGGATGTGTCTGTAGGATGTGTCTGTAGGATGTGTCTGTAGGATGTGTTTGTTTTCTTTACTCTGTAAAACGGAGATGTACTGACCTCCGGTCTCTGGGAGTACTCTCGCTCAGGGAAGTGGGTCTAGACGACGCTGAAAGAAACAACAGACAACTACTGACACCAGGGGAGATGACTTCACTATAGTACTGACAACAGTTCCCATATACAATATAACAACAACAGACAACTACTGACACCAGGGGAGATGACCTCACTATAGTACTGACAACAGTTCCCATATACAATATAACAACCACAGACTGCTACTGACACCAGGGGAGATGACTTTCACGATACATTTTGTAGCACAGACACAAACAATACAGAACTGCCCAGTCATCACTTGTTCTGTAGAGTAACAAAGGAGTGGTAAAAAGAGAGGGCTGCAGACTCACTCCTCTTAATGGCGGCCCTGATGGAGGACAGAGGTCCTTGGCTGGAAGAGAGGAAAGAAAAAAAAGTCCGTGATTACGTTGGGGGTTCATTCACCTTCTGTATCTTACCATTAGAGAACACCCACCCAGCAAGGCGCTGAAGGCTTCTCTCCATGTACACAACACACATCTGGGCTTAAAATGATCTGAGCAGTTTCCTTTCCCTTTGTTGCATTCCTTCATACGCGGACCCAAGACTGATCAGCCTATACACTCTCCAAGCTAGAGCTAAACGTGTGTTAAAAATCTACTAACATTGATTAAACCAGCCAGTAAAAGTGTATTCTGTGTATGTTTCATTTTGAGCTGTTCTCAACCATGCAGAGGCATGACCACACCAACACAACACCCCCTATAATCATTAGAAGCCTCCATAGAAACATTACTGCTGTTCTCTCTGCCTCCGCTCTCTCTCTCTCTCCATCTCTCTTTCCTTCCCTCAGAGGAAACCCAGAGTATTTAGGGAACGATAACGGCAGAAACTTCCTAGCTCATATCCTTCCGAGTGAAACTTCCCGACAAACAATCACAAAACAACCTTGAACGTTGACAAAGCTTACATACCCAAACTGTTGTAGAGTCTAGCAGTCCACTGTTCTCTCTTTATCCCTCTCTCTCTGCTCTACTCTCTGAGTCTACTGCTGGTTTCTACAGAGCTGAGCAATGTTGACTTCTAGCTGCTAACTATGTCCAGACCCATGAGTCACACATAACACATCCCAGCTAGCAGTCCACTTCTAACACAGGACGGGGAGGGGGAGGGTGAAGGAACACCCCCTTTACCCTCTTTGAACCTTCTTCTTTCCCTCCTCCTCCTCTCCCTCTCCACCTCCTCTCCCTCTACCTCCTCTCCTCCTCCTCTCCCTCTCCTCTCCTCTCCTCTCCCTCTCCACCTCCTCTCCCTCTACCTCCTCTCCTCCTCCTCTCCCTCTACCTCCTCTCCTCCTCCTCCTCTCCCTCTCCTCTCCTCTCCTCTCCTCTCCTCTCCTCTCCTCTCCCTCTCCTCCTCCTCTACCTCTCCTCCTCCTCTACCTCTCCTCCTCTACTCCTCATCTCCTCTCCTCCTTCTCCTCCACACTATTAACTTACATAAACCAGTATATACTTCCTGACATTGAACAACAATCTCCTAAACCTCTGGATAGAAGTTGCCTTCTAAGGTCCGTTTGCATTCCCCCTCCTTATGGTTAAGGCTAATATCAGGTTAGGCTATACTGATCCCAGATCAGCGTCTGAAGAGGGGAAACTTCTATCCACCGCCAGAGTTACCTCTCCAGCCTGTTACCATGCCAACCGACTGAAGCTGGAGCCACATAGTTCCAGGGTTGTGTCATAAGCAGTCCCGGCCCAACCTCAGCACCGCACCGGGATACTTAACTGCTACAGCTGTGAGATGGCTGAGCGAGAGAAAGTAGTCCCAGTTATGTTTTAAATAAAAGAGTTTAAAAGGGGAATGGAAACACTTCCGGATGTAAAGCAAAGACATGTATTTATCCACTAATACAAAACATATGCTTGTAACACAGAAACATCTTTATTTTCAGTATTTTGATCTTGAACAACGTTTATTAGGAGGTATGGGAAGCGCCATCTTGAATTGCCATAGTAAAAGGTTTTCCTATTCAAAATAAGCGAGACTCAATACGCTCTAAAAGTCTCTAGCTTCATTAGGATTAGTGGTGTTCTTTATTGTAAGTAATTTCATTTGAAAGGGTTGTTCTTAGCTTTCAAAATACTGTATGAATCATGTCTTCATATATGGTTGGACACCAGCAAATTATGCTAATGAATGGACGCAGAGGTCATGGTCTCAGTAAATTCAGGAATTCCAAAACTATTTTACAGACGACGCAACAACGCCAATATGGCGATTTACATTTAGTCAGCTGGTGTTCTAAAACTTGGTGTTTCCATTTCCCTTTTAAATGGTTAACCTGCTTTATGCGTCATGGAAATATAGTTCAGAAGGGTGATTTCACCATATAAAACCACTAGCCATGAGAACAGCTCCTAGCCTGACAGCAAGCGTGTCCGCGCAAAGCAAGGTCATCAGTAATGGCAGAGGACAACTAGGCTGTATCCCAAACTGCAACCCCGTTCCCTTTATAGTGCACTACTTTTCCCCGGGGCTCATAGGGGCTCGGGTCAGAAGTATCGCACTATAGAGAGAATAGGGTGTGGTTTGGGATACAGATTATATATGTCAGTCAAAACTGGCAGATCTCTCACCTGAGTCTTTGTTCTTTGTGCCTCTCTGAGCGCTCTGTGGAGAGAGAGAAATAGACAGAGAAAAGAGAGAGAGAAAAGAGAGAGAGAGGGGAGGAGAGAGGAGAGGAGAGAGAGAGAGAGGAGAGGAGAGAGAGAGAGGGGAGGAGAGAGGGGAGGAGAGAGGCCTTGGTCAAGATAACATCACACTAGCTCATTCATCTCTTCTCCCCTGTAACTCCTCCCTCGTTATTTCTGTAAAAAGGAGAATCGATTCTCAAGTCAAACAGGTCCAACAGAAGAAAGATAGATAACTCCCCAGCATCTAAAGTTCCTCGGTCTCTGCTTCGGATAAAACAAACATCCACACAACGATTACAGCAGAACTCCAGCAGTTCTGGTGTATCTAACCTCTTCCAGAACGTAAGCAGAGTAAACTGAAGACCCAGCGGAAAGAAAGTCAACCGCTGTCCAACGGAACTCTCCCTCTCTCTCTCTGTCTGTGTTCCAGAATGTGGAAATTATGATTGGAACCCTCTGCCATTCCCTGGATCTGGTTGGCTGGTTAAAATACACTGTAGCTGTGATTGGCTAGTGCGGGCTGAGTAGCAGAAAACAGCAGTCAGTCAGTCTGGGGTAGTCAATGTTTCCAGCTGCACTATAACTTATTATAGCCTGTTAACTACAGCTCTGAGTGCAGAGAGTATAGAGGCTTAAAGTTTTAATATGCATGAGTTATAAACGCATTATCAAATCAAGACCATTATAAAACGGGGTGGTTCAAACCCTGAATGCTGATTGGCTGACAGCCGTGGTATATCAGACCGTATAAGACGGGTATGACAAAACATTTCATTTTGTACTTCTCTAATTACGTTCCTAACCAGTTTATAATAGCAATAAGGCGCCTCAAGGGTTTGTGGTACGTGGACAATATACCACGGCTAATGGCTGTATCCAGACAGTCCCACGTTGCTTCGTGCGTAAGAACAGTCCTCAGCCGTGGTATATTGGCCATGTGTATCCCAACACCTCGGGGCGTTGTATTGCTTCAATATAACGCTGCTATGAAAGGTGTTATGAAGATATCCATGTACAGGTTATAATGCATTATACTGCTTATATGACATCTGGGGGTAGTGATCAACATACAGGACAGCAGGATGAAATAGTTGAACTACTCCTTACTGCTGCCTGTTAACTGTGGTTGAACTACTCCTTACTGCTGCCTGTTAACTGTGGTTGAACTACTCCTTACTGCTGCCTGTTAACTGTGGTTGAACTACTCCTTACTGCTGCCTGTTAACTGTGGTTGAACTACTCCTTCCTGCTGCCTGTTAACTGTGGTTGAACTACTCCTTACTGCTGCCTGTTAACTGTGGTTGAACTACTCCTTACTGCTGCCTGTTAACTGTGGTTGAACTACTCCTTCCTGCTTCCTGTTAACTGTGGTTGAACTACTCCTTACTGCTGCCTGTTAACTGTGGTTGAACTACTCCTTACTGCTGCCTGTTAACTGTAGTTGAACTACTCCTTACTGCTGCCTGTTAACTGTGGTAGAACTACTCCTTCCTGCTGCCTGTTAACTGTGGTTGAACTACTCCTTCCTGCTGCCTGTTAACTGTGGTTGAACTACTCCTTCCTGCTGCCTGTTAACTGTGGTTGAACTACTCCTTCCTGCTGCCTGTTAACTGTAGTTGAACTACTCCTTACTGCTGCCTGTTAACTGTGGTTGAACTACTCCTTACTGCTGCCTGTTAACTGTGGTTGAACTACTCCTTACTGCTGCCTGTTAACTGTGGTTGAACTACTCCTTCCTGCTGCCTGTTAACTGTGGTTGAACTACTCCTTCCTGCTGCCTGTTAACTGTGGTTGAACTACTCCTTACTGCTGCCTGTTAACTGTGGTTGAACTACTCCTTACTGCTGCCTGTTAACTGTGGTTGAACTACTCCTTACTGCTGCCTGTTAACTGTGGTTGAACTACTCCTTACTGCTGCCTGTTAACTGTGGTTGAACTACTCCTTACTGCTGCCTGTTAACTGTGGTTGAACTACTCCTTACTGCTGCCTGTTAACTGTGGTTGAACTACTCCTTCCTGCTGCCTGTTAACTGTGGTTGAACTACTCCTTCCTGCTGCCTGTTAACTGTGGTTGAACTACTCCTTACTGCTGCCTGTTAACTGTAGTTGAACTACTCCTTACTGCTGCCTGTTAACTGTGGTTGAACTACTCCTTACTGCTGCCTGTTAACTGTGGTTGAACTACTCCTTCCTGCTGCCTGTTAACTGTGGTTGAACTACTCCTTCCTGCTGCCTGTTAACTGTGGTTGAACTACTCCTTACTGCTGCCTGTTAACTGTGGTTGAACTACTCCTTACTGCTGCCTGTTAACTGTGGTTGAACTACTCCTTACTGCTGCCTGTTAACTGTGGTTGAACTACTCCTTCCTGCTGCCTGTTAACTGTGGTTGAACTACTCCTTCCTGCTGCCTGTTAACTGTAGTTGAACTACTCCTTACTGCTGCCTGTTAACTGTGGTTGAACTACTCCTTACTGCTGCCTGTTAACTGTGGTTGAACTACTCCTTCCTGCTGCCTGTTAACTGTGGTTGAACTACTCCTTCCTGCTGCCTGTTAACTGTGGTTGAACTACTCCTTACTGCTGCCTGTTAACTGTGGTTGAACTACTCCTTACTGCTGCCTGTTAACTGTGGTTGAACTACTCCTTCCTGCTGCCTGTTAACTGTGGTTGAACTACTCCTTCCTGCTGCCTGTTAACTGTGGTTGAACTACTCCTTCCTGCTGCCTGTTAACTGTGGTTGAACTACTCCTTACTGCTGCCTGTTAACTGTGGTTGAACTACTCCTTACTGCTGCCTGTTAACTGTGGTTGAACTACTCCTTCCTGCTGCCTGTTAACTGTGGTTGAACTACTCCTTCCTGCTGCCTGTTAACTGTAGTTGCACTACTCCTTACTGCTGCCTGTTAACTGTGGTTGAACTACTCCTTCCTGCTGCCTGTTAACTGTGGTTGAACTACTCCTTCCTGCTGCCTGTTAACTGTGGTTGAACTACTCCTTCCTGCTGCCTGTTAACTGTGGTTGAACTACTCCTTCCTGCTGCCTGTTAACTGTGGTTGAACTACTCCTTCCTGCTGCCTGTTAACTGTAGTTGAACTACTCCTTACTGCTGCCTGTTAACTGTGGTTGAACTACTCCTTACTGCTGCCTGTTAACTGTGGTTGAACTACTCCTTACTGCTGCCTGTTAACTGTGGTTGAACTACTCCTTACTGCTGCCTGTTAACTGTGGTTGAACTACTCCTTCCTGCTGCCTGTTAACTGTGGTTGAACTACTCCTTCCTGCTGCCTGTTAACTGTGGTTGAACTACTCCTTACTGCTGCCTGTTAACTGTGGTTGAACTACTCCTTACTGCTGCCTGTTAACTGTAGTTGAACTACTCCTTACTGCTGCCTGTTAACTGTGGTTGAACTACTCCTTACTGCTGCCTGTTAACTGTGGTTGAACTACTCCTTACTGCTGCCTGTTAACTGTAGTTGAACTACTCCTTACTGCTGCCTGTTAACTGTAGTTGAACTACTCCTTCCTGCTGCCTGTTAACTGTGGTTGAACTACTCCTTACTGCTGCCTGTTAACTGTGGTTGAACTACTCCTTCCTGCTGCCTGTTAACTGTGGTTGAACTACTCCTTCCTGCTGCCTGTTAACTGTAGTTGAACTACTCCTTACTGCTGCCTGTTAACTGTGGTTGAACTACTCCTTACTGCTGCCTGTTAACTGTGGTTGCATCCCAAATGGCACCCTATAAAGGGCTCTGGTAAAAAAAATAATGCT